AGACTGATGAATGGATGGAGTGATAGTTATCCCATAATGTCCCTCTCCACCCATAAATACACCTGAGGTATTCTTTATTTAGTTTTTTATAATCCTCACAGTTCAAGACTGAATTCTGTTTCCTAATTTTGCTCTGTAACTGTCGCCCTTTGTTATATTTTTACTGTGAATCACACCCCTTACTTTCTTGTATCTAAACAATATAAATCCAGTCTTCTATTAAAAGTCCTCTTTGTCATGCAGATAACTATGTGATGCTTCGTCTGCATCCAGCTCCTATCTGTGGAGTACAGCTATAAATAGGAGGCACTTGTGTCTGCTGGGGCAGTGTGGAGCAGAAGAATGCTCTCACATTCCTTTGCCTATCATATACTGCACATATTTCTCTTTTAGATCAGAGTTATTCTTCCTCATATTTACTTAATTATTGTTGTAATCATTACAAATAAATGAGTGACATTTCCTGAGATACAGAAAAATCCCAAAGGGAACATTCTTGTGCTACACCAACGATTATGCCAAATGTTTGTATCATTCATTCACAGATGTGAAAATATTACATCACGAGGTTCAGTGGACATAAAGGAAAATGCACCTTAAGCAGTGAGTGGCGCTTATATGGAATTCCTCATTGCAAGCTGTGAAACCTCAGTGGCTGCTCATTAATGACTCTGTTCCTCACCATCACCCTATAAGGAGACAGCTGAGCCAATCATGATGGAGCGCTGACACAGAGAGCCAGATCAGATAGAGCCCTTCTGGCAATACCATCAGCTGTTCCACACACTGAGGAGGCTCAGTGCACATACCAGCAGAGTGGTTGTTTTCATCTCCTTAGCGAGACACCAGTCACGCTGTCTTGACTGGATGGATCAGCAAAACCTGCGAGGGATGAGTTGCATTTGTTCCGCATTGGGAGACACATCATTTCAAATATTATACAGACACTTTATCAAGACTTTGACATTATTTGAGAGCTATTAAGAGATTGCACTGTAACTAAAATGCAGATGATGCCTTATGTTCCTTTCTTCCTTTCCTTTATTAATCTTGTTCTACAGTATAGTTATATAAAGAAAGACATCCGATGTAGTTTTAGTAACAATATAGAAAAATGCTTAATTATCTTAAAAAGCTTTTTTAAAGACCTACATATAACAACCATCTACACCAGTTTTTGAAAAAAACTTTCAGTAGTTCATATCAATAGTCATCTGTGGGTGCATCCGAAAAGCAAGAATAACTCAACTAACATGTCATGTTTAAACTGTGAGCGAGTAGGAGTGCACTGTAGAGAAGTCTCTTCCATGTATGTGAAACACACATTTCCAAGGGCATGAGGATTTTTGCTGGCAGCTCTTATTTGGACTCGCGTGAACTCTCAGCCCCGCCCCTTGTCCTTCGACCCATTGTGGGGCATATTTAAGGGGATCCTCTGACTGTGACCCTGCATCCCAGTGGAAGCATCTGTGTTCCAGCTTGCTTAGGTGAGTACATTTCAAAGTGTGTCTCTTTGAATCACTGAAGAGGTATCTGCTTGTGCAACTGCCTTCTTTTTACCTTCAGGAAAGTTACTACCTGTTATTTGAAATGAAGGATTTTATTTTTTTTACTTTTATGAGAGAATAGATTAGGTTATTTCAGCGTCCTCAGAAGTTAGAATCACTGACTGGATTTGTGGAGCACAGTGAAAGCTGGTGTTATTTCTACCTGTTTTTTGCTTAAAATGGTTTGATTGCATGTGATGCCACAAACGACTGACAGTGGGGTGATGTGTTTTCCTGTGATCGGTACACTTTGTAGTGTGCAAAGTCTCACAAAGTATACCGATACACTACAAAGTCACACTAGAGTAGTACTTGGAAAGTGCAACTCTGAGAGGATGTTGGTTAAATTTACCAGTGACTCAGTGGCTTAGGTTTAGAGGCAGCTGGGTCACAGAAGCAAGTAGTAAAACCCGAGTGTCACAGCGTACAGACAGATGGGTGCTGGCCAGGCACTTCTCTCTGACCTGAAATAGCAAGAGATCAATGTGTCACTTGTTTAACCCTGTTAACGGCTGTGGGGGTGCTGAGCTTAAAATAGCTCACAGGTCTCCCGGTTGTGGCCCTTTTTGGTGCTACCTCAGCAGCTCTTAGATACCCCAGGAACAATCGTGGCTGTGGAGATATGGTATCAGGGGTTTCTGACAAGGGTCGGACAAAAATAGCATCCATCCACATCGAATTAGCTCTGTAGCACCCACTGAATTGAGTTGTGTTAGTATTCACAAGTGATAATACCATAAGAGCAGCTATCAGATAGTGCTGGCTGCTCTTCAAAGGACTGTTAAATCACAGCTAATACGTATCTATTAACCACACGAGTGACTGACTCTATCTCTAAAGGGTCTCATTTAATCAGCTGCTCCAACAATAAAGTCAGTGATTGTTCAACAATAACATGACGGAGAATTTAGGCAGATGGTCCTAACAACCAGCCTAAACCTTCTCATCAAATTTTAGATCACCCCAGTAAAGCCTCATCATGTGTGACGACGATGAGACTACCGCCCTTGTGTGCGACAATGGCTCTGGCTTGGTCAAGGCTGGATTTGCTGGAGATGACGCTCCCCGTGCTGTCTTCCCTTCCATCGTTGGAAGGCCCCGCCACCAGGTATGCTCCAAGCAAAAAACTATCTTAGTGCAATGTTAAAAAGATGTTTAGGGTAACTGTTTTCATGTGTTTTATACTCCAGCTCATGTGTCTTTTTTCAGGGTGTGATGGTGGGTATGGGTCAGAAAGACAGCTATGTAGGCGATGAGGCCCAGAGCAAGAGGGGTATCCTGACACTGAAGTACCCCATTGAGCATGGCATCATCACCAACTGGGATGATATGGAGAAGGTTTGTGCAATTTCACCTACACCCCACTTTATCTTTACAGCCATTATAAGAGCATTTGGTGCCTCGTTAGTAAGATCAGGTTGTTGCTTATTCAGTTATTTCAGATTTCTTCTCTTTCCTCGGTCAGATCTGGCACCACACCTTCTACAATGAGCTGCGTGTAGCTCCTGAGGAACACCCCACCCTGCTGACTGAAGCTCCCCTGAACCCCAAAGCCAACAGGGAGAAGATGACTCAGGTATTTAAAGCAACTAATCAATTGTTTTAGACCCCATTTATACGTAAGTTGTGTGTTTCTTCTCCCTCTGATTCTGCTTGCTTTCTCTTGTAGATTATGTTCGAGACCTTCAACGTTCCTGCCATGTATGTGGCCATCCAGGCTGTGCTGTCTCTGTATGCCTCTGGCCGTACCACTGGTCAGTAAACTTCAATCATTTTTCCAGGTGTTTATTTGAGTCTGAGATCAGTTATTCCAGAATGTAAAATACAGATCCAGTACTTAAGCAAGAGATGTGTATGATGTGTGTGTTTACACTATTATTGTGTCTGTCATCTGTCTCCTTGTCAAGTGGAGGTGCTAATCCCCCTACAGCAGCATGTGTTCTCAGTGATGTCAGCAACATTGTATAGTGAGTGATGTGTGACATAGCTGAACTGCTGCTCTTATTTGCTCGTTAAAGGTATTGTGCTGGACTCTGGCGATGGTGTAACACACAATGTTCCCATCTATGAGGGTTATGCTCTCCCACATGCCATCATGCGTCTGGATTTGGCCGGTCGTGATCTTACTGACTACCTGATGAAGATCCTGACTGAGCGTGGCTACTCCTTTGTCACAACTGGTAGGACTATGCCATCTTGATTAATTATTTTGCGTATTAAAAATGTATGAATTGGATTTTCCTAAATAGCTAAACGTTCTGGTCCTTAGCTGAGCGTGAGATTGTGCGTGACATCAAGGAGAAGTTATGTTACGTGGCTCTTGACTTTGAAAATGAGATGGCCACTGCTGCCTCCTCTTCCTCCCTGGAAAAAAGCTACGAGCTGCCCGATGGTCAGGTCATCACCATTGGTAATGAGCGTTTTCGTTGCCCAGAGACCCTCTTCCAGCCTTCTTTCATTGGTGAGTTCAGTCTCGATGCTTGAGTTACACTGTTTCTGTCTATGTTACAAAACGCCTTTTTAATCTTTTTACTTGTTTTCCACCAGGTATGGAGTCTGCTGGTATCCATGAGACTGCGTATAACAGCATAATGAAATGTGACATTGACATCCGTAAGGACCTGTATGCCAACAATGTGCTCTCTGGTGGCACCACCATGTACCCTGGTATTGCTGACCGTATGCAGAAGGAAATCACAGCCCTGGCACCAAGCACCATGAAGATCAAGGTGAGAGAACTGCAGACGTTTTAAGTAAATACACTCATGGATGAAGTCAATTAACACATCATGAACATTTATTTCGTAAACTTTGTAATATATTGAATTATTTAATTAGTTCAGTCTGTTACTGTTATTGACCTTGAGCAACTGTAACCCAGATAATTTCCTTAGGGATTAAAGTATTCTGATTAAATGGTGTTTAACATTTCCTTAGATCATTGCTCCACCTGAGAGGAAGTACTCCGTCTGGATTGGTGGTTCCATCTTGGCTTCCCTCTCCACCTTCCAACAGATGTGGATCAGCAAGCAGGAGTACGATGAGGCCGGCCCTTCCATTGTTCACAGGAAATGCTTCTGAGCACACCTCCTTTCATCCATGCATTTTCACGTTGCTGTCTCATGTATATAAGTGTATGTTCTATTGTAATAAAGACAAACCTTTGTGAGAGAACCTCCTATGATATTGTTGTGTGAAACAAATATGGATCATTTAAGAAATAGTCTAACTGAGAAAATTAACTAGGTCATTTCTCTGGTATAAAAACTTTTACAATTCCCAGTCCTTAAAGTCCTTAAAGACTCAGGTGGTGTCAGTAAACATGTTGGTTATTTAAAAGTCAGGTTATATTTAACTTTACTTATTACTAGACATGTTAGACACAGCATAAAAGAGGGACTGTCTGTGTACAGGCACGAAAAAGCGGAAATTTCCTTTTCAAATGGTTGACTCATTTAAACTACATGGCCTACCGGTTGATCGCAGCGTCTGCTTGAGTTTTGCTCTGCCTTAACAGAAACTGCACCGCCCAGCGAGGCTGCTCTGGGTGTTAAAACAAACAAAAAAGCAAGCACGTTATTCAAAAGGATTTCAGCCAATCACAGCGGAGAGAGCAGGGAGCGCTGCTGTTTGAATGCATTGCGGAAACAGTGGGCAACCGATGTGAGGAGCGAACCTTATTACAATGCAGTTAGCTAGCTAACGAGTTAAACTTATTTAATTTATAGAGTTTGTTGTTTTACAGGAGGTAGGCCGTTTTAGACCGCGTGCAACTTAGATGCTGTGTCGGTTATTTCAGAGTAGGGGAAAGTCAATGTGTTAACCTAGCTGGCTAATGTTAGCTAGCTAACTGCATCGCAACGTATGCATGAAGTTAACCTTTAGATAAGTGCTCCATAATGTAACTTTAGTCGAGTTGTCTATTCATTAGGACTAAGTAAGGTTATTCTCCATACAGCTGATCAACGGTTGTGTTGCTACAGAGCTTTATGGACGCTTAATATTCACGCTGAGCATGAGTTATCGTCCGGAGGTCTTGGGAAATTAACAAAGTCAAAGAGGCTGCGGTCAGGCCTGAACTGTTAGAGCTGTGAGTGCGAGTTTGCTGTGGCAGAGATAAGTGATCAGTGCAAAATTTCGAGGTACGTTTGCAAAAATGAGAGTCATGGAGAAAAATGTGATGCGTCTAGTGGCCGTGCAGCACCTCCGCTCAGCGTACGGGATTAAAACAAAGAACTGGAACAAAAACAAAGCGGCCAGCTGCAAGTCAGCAGCCAGCAACTCGGTAAGTTTAAATAAAACGTTTTTACTAATCTTCAACACCACTCACTTGAATTATTTGCAGCGATTCTGAAATGTAGGACTTCATCATAATCGTTGTGTTGGTGTAGTTAGACGACAAATCAGCAAGTTCACACTATTAACCTTGGGCATTGTGTTGGTTAGACTCTTGAATCAGATTAGCATATTATTGAAAGCTGACGAGTCCCATTTGTTCGCAGACTGTTGTCACCCAAGCACTGAAGGTGTTTTGTTTGGGTCTTGCCGTCATTGTTCACAGCATAGATTTTGTTAGTCTAAAGGCCAGTGTTTTCTTATATAGCTTCATATTTGTGTGGGTTTTAAAATATTTCTTTAATACACACTTTGACATTGTGACGGCACAGATGATTAGATGTAAGTTGCTAAAGTGAATGTCAGTTAATGTGGAAATGAGTGGAAATAACTACTGAAGCCCTCCCTTCTACTTATAAATGGGTTACAGGAGTCACAAGGTTAGTTGCAACACACTTTGACTTTTCAAATGAAGGCTGAACTTCTGCATTTGCACGAATAGGCCCTCTTGTGGATAGAGAATTAATAGAAACAGTCCAACCTTTAGGTCAGAAGGAAGAAGGCAAGTACTAAAGTTCTGCTCTGCTGAAAAAGGCTGGACAGTTTTAAACCAACAAAGTGCCTCTGTGTTGCTCTTAAACTTAGGAATGCTTGGCATCCAGTCAGTCAACTGGTCAAAAGTAATGGCAATTTTGGCAGTGGTTTTGGTCTGTAAGGAAGACCACACTAACTGTATAACCACAGTGTTGCAATGGATGAATATGTGAGTGGCTTGATGCAGCCTATAGATTGTTAGTTTTATTACAGCAGTATAGCTCCGTTTCTGTTCCTCCCCAACTTTCAAGCCTTGTTGTTAAAAGTTGTAAAGCTGAGCAAACATAATGTTTTATTGTTTATTTTTTCCCCAGACAAAGGTTTTTGGTATGTCCCTGGAGAATTTGCCATATTACAATATGGAATGTGGGAGTGTTCCAAGGTAGGTAATAATGCATATTTTAGGCTATTCAAACTTGCAGCTGGCAAGTTGTTTCATGTCCCATCTTGTGCATTTGATACTAATGATTTTTTTGTTTTTGTTTAACTGCCCTTAGTTTTCTGGTTGACGCGTGCATGAGGCTGCTAGCACAGATTGACACAGAGGGCCTGTTCAGAAAATCAGGCTCTGTTGTTCGTCTGAAAGCACTCAGGGTGAGTGATGGCTGAAGCTGACCTCGCTTTCACCGAGTGACCTTGACACTGGGGACTGTCTAACACAACAGAGCTGTGTTTTGTCTGTCCAGGCAAAATTGGATGCGGGTGAAGAGTGCCTATCTACTGCTCTTCCCTGCGATGTGGCGGGTCTGGTGAAGCAGTTTTTCCGTGAGTTACCGGAGCCCGTGCTTCCCACAGAGCTGCAGGAAGCCTTCTTCAAGGCTCAGCAGCTCCCAAATGAGGAGGAGAGGACCTCTGCCACCATGTTGCTGTCTTGTGTTTTGCCAGACAGGAACTTATGTGTGCTGCGTTATTTTTTTGACTTTCTTTACAATGTATCTAAACGGTAAGTTAACGTAAAACCACCTTTTTTCAAATTCTCTTTATGCTATTTATTACATAATACTTTTATATTTAAAGAATTGATATTTTACTTTTACTGCTTTATCACAGGAGTGCAGAGAATAAGATGGATAGCAGTAACTTGTCTGTAATCTTGGCACCCAACCTCCTCCACTCTGGTGATGGCACAGAGAAGATGAACGCCAACACTGAGAAACGCCTCAAACTGCAGGCCGCTGTAGTCCAGTGTTTCATAGAGAATGCTCACAGCTTTGGTATGACCTGAGGCGCTGATCTTAAAAGCATTTCTTCTATATGTCAGGTTTCACTCTTCTGTTTTACCTCTAAATATTTGACTGTCTGTGCATTGAAGGTGTGTTACCAAAGTTTCTTCAAGACAAAGTTCCTGCCATGATGGGCTGTGAGGCAGGGGTTCTGTCTCCTGCTCATGATGAACTAGAAGAGCCGGAGCTGAACTCGGGAATGAAGAGGAAAAGCAGGCGCAGCTTGGGTGGTAAGGCTATATCAGATTTACAGTAATTCTTTGCTTATTGGTACAATATGTGAATATTTGTAGTTTCAGTTCAACTAGAATATGTCACTCAAGACATCAGACAAATGCAAGTGAAAGTAAGCACTGCATTGCAGTGCATGTTATTCAATAATGTTATTTTTAAACTGCTGTAGTCAGTAAATGTGTATTTGGCTCATATTTCAGATGTGGTCAATGGTGCACTGAATAAGATAAAAACTAATAGAACACCCACAAATGTCCCCCACACAGACAGTCTTGGTATGTACCGTGTTGCCTGCCATGTAGCATGATAAAACTGTAGTAATCCATCTGCTATACAAAAGAAACGACAAGCTAAAATTTCCTTAATAAAATAAATCAATCTGGGAACATATTTGATTTCGTGCTTAAATCTTCTTTTGCACTTGGATTAAAGCAGTTTGCATCTACCGTGATAATGAATGAATAATGCACAGGCTTGCTTGATTGGCTTTTCACTCTTCTGCCTTTTTTTTTTGATTTTTTTTTGCATCAATGATTTTTTATTTTTTTTGCATCAATGATTTTATTTACAAGCTTCTGCCAATATTTCTGAGTCCGTTTGGCATGTTTTCAAATGGAAATGATCAAATCCTACATGTGTGAAGACATTAATTCTTCTGTGATTTTTGCCAGTCTTTTCTTCTGCAACTCCTGTGATTTCAACACCAGCCTCCAAGCGAAAACTTCCTCTGGAGTCTGGCAGCTCTTTTGGCTTTTCAAACAAGAAACGTAGATCTGTCAAAAAGAACCTTGGGATAGAATTGCTTCCTGATATTTTGTTCAACGGGCCCTCCACACCTGGATCAGGTAGTAAAGAATGTTTAATTACTGGGCATAAACTGCTATGGTATCTCTTGATCTTAATACAGCTTTAATTTTCCTCCTTAAATATTGTAGCCTGCAGTACTTTGGGGATGCTGGATTCTTCCCAAAATGTCCTGTCGTCAGCAGGGAGGTCTAGAAGGCAACCGACCACATCTGCAAGGAAGAAGAGCCGACGACTCAGCAGCAGACACCTTATCAACAGGTACAGATGTGATCATTCATTTCTCACTTTTGTTGCTTTTTCTATTTAAAATCATGTAAAGTAGAGGCGGGCAATTCATTTTCTAAGTGGCAACATGAGAAACTGGGACTGTTGTGAAGGGCAGCACCAATAAGCTGAACTATGTATTCATTTTCTCTTTGATTATCGGTGTAGCCCTCCACAACAGTCCCAATTTCAAATGTTGCCATTTGGGAAAATGAATTTCCCACCCCTCATCCAAAGGAAGATATACTTGTAAAGCCTTAGCCTTTAATCTAAACTATCCCCAGCTTATCTTGCTAATAATTGTTTTATTTATTTATCCTTTTCAGAGTTGAGTCTGGAAAGGCTGGTTGCTTTTCTCCTAAAACAAGCAAAAAAGAAGCTCCACACAAGTCCCTGCGCTTGCGTTTTAGCCTTGGGGGGAAGAGCAGCAAAGACGCTGTAAGTGTGTTGGCCTGATGGAAATCAACCACTTCTCTGGTTTTCCCATAAACACTGAAAGATTAGTCAAGTGCATTCATGCATAATCTGCAATTAATACATTTGCACATGAGGAGTAATGTGGCATGTATTTGTGCACAGTAGCACTTTTTTATTGTTGTTTTTAATGTACTAAGTTTACTTAAAGTGACTAACTCTAAAACAAGTAATCCATGCAGGACTTTACAGGTAATCGTAATTGTAATATGATGTAATATTACTGACCAAATTGTGATATTTGCATGGTACCAAACAATAGAATGGTGTTTGTTATGCTTAGATTTCAGTGATTTTACTACACTAAGCACTCAGGTGGACGAATGTTAATAAATGTGTGTGTGTGTATGTATATCTATCTATATCTCTATCTAGATATAGATAGATAGTAACCAGTGTTTGAGTACATTGTGTAGGCTGTTTAAGGCTCTATACTAATGCTTTATAGTCATTTGTGTATTCTTGATTTAATAAAAACTTTTAAAAAAAATCAAATGGATTGTTTCTTCTGAGTGATTTTTATCATCCTCTGAAGAACTAACCGCAAAAGTCATGATATTAACATCTTAATGTTACTTTTTGGGTTTTTTCTGTGGGATCCTTTTTAACAAAATACTACTCTGACATTTCACCCTCTTTCATGTCTCATTTCATGCTGCTCATAAAGGCTTCTGAGTCCATTGGTTTGCGACTTGCCAAACAGGAGAGCACCACCAGTTTCCATTTCACCAAAGAGACAGAGTTCATTCCATCAGTTCAGCCTGGAAAAACTGAATCCAAGAGTAAGTACCAGACAGCTGAACTTTATGCTTAAAATAAAATATTAAATCTTCTTGTCATGTAATGCATATCAAAAATGTACCTTTCCAGGCTCCAAGTTCATTAGTAAGTCTGAAGACAACTTGCTGACGCCCAGATGTGACTTAAATGCCCACCGAAGCTTGTGGTGTGCGGAGACGCCCGTAAGAGCCCAGGCCTTGAGCGGCGGGTCTTTCACGGATACGCCAATGAACCTGTGCCTTAAAAGCAGCTACATGTCTGAGCCCGCCATCGTCGTGTCCAAGCCCCCAGCAGTAAGCAGCCTTCCCATGAAGTTGTGTTGTGCTTCCAGTGCAGAGAGCCTCGAGAGCGAGAGCTCAATCCCTGAAGCCCAGAGACAAACCGGTCCCACCCTGCTGAAAATCAAGAAGGCCTTCTCAGAGTCTGGAAGTGATCTCCAGGCTGTCATACAGGAGTCCCGCAAAGCCTCAGGAGCAAGTATTTCAAAACCATCCAACATGATCACAGACCCTCCTCCAGAGACTTCAACAGCCAAATCTCTGTCTGTGCCAAGTGAAGCCCCCAGCTTCTGTATGCAGCAGAGCCTTCTGGCTAATGAACAGAACATTACTTTTGGCCAGATTGAAATTGCTGCTTTGTCTCCTTTGCATATTGATAGTGTAGTTCTTGAGGCTGCTGAATCCCACAGCCCAGTCATCCAGGATGAGAAAGGTTCTCTCTGTGCTGCTCCTGCTGGTGGGAATAACAGCTTCACAGTAGGAGCAGGAGAAAGGGAAATGGAGGAGATGAACTGCAGCAAGTTGATTGATGCTCTGGATATCCAAAGTCCTGCTCACTTCAGACTAGGTGTCTCTTCTGGACGGCAGTCAACTCCATACAAACCAGGTCTTGAACTCCGAAATGAGTTTGTTACACCACCTAAAACTGACGCTGTAGTCAGTGTGTTACATGACAAGAGGGAACTTTCTCCAGAGATTGGTACCAAAGTCCAAAAACAACCAACGTTTTCATCACACAGTCAGGAGGCTGAAAGGCGTCGTGTGGCAGACCACATTCAGCACTTCAACAAGCTCACCATTTATTCTCCCACAGGCTCAAAGAGCAATCAGATCAAGTCGCCGCTTAAATTCCACCGCACCCCTGTGCGTCAGACTGTTCGCAGGATTAACTCTCTCATGGGAGAGAGCAGGAAACCTGTTAGAACTGCAGGTACCATCACCAACCAGCGTGGACAAGTAGCAAAGGCTGTGAGTCTAGAGAGTGGCCTTTCCCCTCACCCAAAACTTCAACCTCACCACGGAGAACACGAGGTGCCATCCAGCCACACGTGCCCTTTACAGAAGCCCCCTCCAGTGCCTCCAAAAAAGTCACGCACCAAGTCCTGTGTGCTGGGCGACATGACCAACAAGGTCCAATCAAAGACCCAAGTGGACTGCTCAACCAATGAGCCATCAGGAGCTCAGAAGCCTCTGCAGCAGCTAGCTGGGAAGGACATGAACTATTACAGAGGTTCACCCAGAAACCCTCTCAACCAAGGAAGGCTGCTGTCTGCTACGAAGCCTGTCGATTTATAGTGAATATCCATTTGGCCTCTTCTCTCCTTTAACTATGCAGGTGTCTGCTGAGAGTGATGTTAAACGTCCTAACCTATTCATGTTTTCAGGGTCTTAAATTATTGTCAGCTGTCTAGATGCTGTTTGTGTTATTTTAGGGCCTTATTGGGAGATGTTTGTATGCCTTACATTTGTTTTACTTCAGTAAAACCAGTTTAGAAGTTAAGATGTCGACACATATCAGCCTATAAGATTACGTTTAGTTAGTAGTGTGCAGGCTAAATTGTGTAAAATGTGATTGGTGTGACTGGGATGTTTTGATTGAGTCATTATATTTATGCCCTTTTAATGTTAGGTAGATGTTTGGGGGGGGGGGACTTGACTGAAGTGAAAGGGTTTTTATTCCATATTATTATTGTCATGTCTTGAACAGGGGAAGAAAACATGCACCTTTGTTGGATTTTGTGGGGAGGAAAAAAGCAAACAGTGTTCATGAAATCACATGTCTATTGCAGGCCATTGTTTTTCAAGTCTTCAGCTATTTTTCTTTTCTTTTTTTGTGCTAACTGCATCAGACGAATAAAGTCAAACAACATGATTTGTTTTGTGGTTGAATAATTTTTGGACTCCGTGCAACCACCAGGGGGAGTGCTACAGCTACTGCAGACAGCTGCAAAGTGAGATACGGCTGCACTGGGATGTTAGCGCAGGCCTCCAGAATGTGTCAGCTGGAAGTTTAGAGTGTTTACACTAACTTGTTGAAGGTCTATCCAGATTTAAAATATATTACTTGAGAAATATATGACGTTATTTACAACATTTATTTAAACGTAGTTGAGTTTATATAAAGATTTAAAAAACCGGTTACTATTTTTATTTTATTTTTTTGTCCAACATTTTATTTTTTGAGTCAGCAATCTGACTCAAACTGAGAACTAAAGCCCCAGATACTATTAAAAATGTAACATTATGTACTTGACTAACCCGGCATGAAGAAAGCAAATTGACATTGTATCCCCCCTGCAGATTCGGAAGCCTTTCCCGATCGGGTGAGGGTTAAAATCATTCCTGGAGATTTATTCCTCAGCCCATTTGGAAGCTTGCCATCCTTCATGTGTGTGAGGTATGACTGGACCTGGGGCAGAATGCCACGCTTTAATCTCATGTTGCACTGACCGGAGCGCATGGTCTTTTGGGGGGTTGTTGACTCATGACGTTGTCATGACCCCTAAATACGTCAGATTGGGCAATGTAATAAGCGGATGGGTTTATGCTGGGGGAAGGTGGTGCGGCTACTTCTCAGCTTCCTTAAAGTTCCCTTTCACAGGGCTGGAATGGTTAAGAAAACTTTAGGGATGCCAGGTTTTTGACAATAAATAAATAAAAATCCGTCAACTGGGTCATTTTAGAGTCACGTCAGCAATTTCTAAAACCATTTACTTTTTTAAAAAAAAATAAATTGAAAAGGCAAACGTTTATGCCTTCAATAATGCCAAACATGAAGGATACAACATCATCTATGAGACTAATCCCAAACTTCCTCTTGAAGATGACTGATTTAAAAAAAACACACAAAACAATTGAGCTGATAAAATATGGACTAAGCCGAGATCACGTGACTCGTTTGGGTCATAAATGAACAGGTATTAGTGAAATGATTAAACATATACTCTGGCTTAGGCTACACCACTGCGCTTTTTCTGCGATTGTACGAAGCAATGCAATTTTTAAAAAAATGCCTTTAATGATTTTTGTTTTTCTCAGGTCTGTGATACATGAAGAGCTACCCTTGTTTCAGGCTGGACGTCTATCACCCTGCTGAATGGATGGAAATGGAGTTCGACTAACTGGTGTCAGAGGTGCTGCATTTTGGCTCATCTTTTAAAGTTTGTCTGTAACTGCATTTGTTTGCTTTAGCAGCTCGAGCTCCGCTTTTCATTTATAGTTGCACATTTACATATAATGCACCGTATTATGGTCGTGTCTTCTTGAAACATGTAAACAAAAACAAACAAACAAAAATCGCACTTTTACTTTTTCCCCCAGTACGCACTCAGCTCCCTCTCCCTCCCTGCCTGCCTTCTTTCACTGTTTCTCGGTTGTCTCTGGGCTAAGGGAAACTGTTGAGGGGGCGGATAGTCTTGATTTTCTCTACATCGTGCTTAGCCAATAACTGCTGTGCACATCTCAGCTGGCAGACATTTAAAAGGGAGACAGTCCGGCGCTGTAGCAATTTGTATTAAACCCCCTGGCCCCTGTCTATGGAGCGCTTAGTCTCCCACCCATCCACAGTCCCACCAGTGCACAGTCGACACCAGTAGGTACCTATCATCTCGAAAGGTGCCGCAGTGAAGCTCGAGGACCAGATCATCGCACTTGTAGCAGCAGTGTTGCATAGCAGGTATTTCTATTTGTTTTTTAAACATCATGATATATAACTTATAGAAATGGTAAAACTGCATGCTTTTCTATCTCTTGCTGCGCAAGTGTGGAGCCACTAACGGTTTACAGGACATGTGACATGGTTTATTACTGTTTTTAGATAAATTCGGCAGGAATATTTTGGAGAATGGATAATTATGGGAACATAATTATATTATTCTGTCATTTATTTGGACTGAGGTGACTCAAATGAATGACTGCTTTTAAACGTCAGCCTCCTTTTCATGTTGTTTCAACAAAGAAGAAATGATGGGGAAAAAGTTCCCTCGGTGCGTTTTTACGCAGCGTAAAAACTATGACAGCTGTGCGTAACCCATGCAGAGCCGAAAACTGTGTGAGTGACGAACCATTTTCTTTTTCTCTACAAGGATGGCCAACTCCACGCATATCTTCTACAGTATGGTTTTCATCATTGGGCTGCTCTCCTCTCCGGTGGATTCAAAAAGAAACAGAGGTTCACAAGGCGCCATTCCTCATCCTGACAAAAGCAACCCAAACGAATCGGAGCAGCAACCGCAGACTCCGCAGGCGGGCTCGGGCTCTCGCCAGAGGCCGGGCTCATCCTCACCCGCCGACGAAGTGCTGGAGTCCAGCCAGGAAGCTCTACATGTGACGGAGCGCCAGTATTTGAAACGGGACTGGTGCAAAACACAACCTCTCAAACAGACCATCCACGAGGAGGGCTGCGTCAGCCGCACCATCATCAACCGCTTCTGTTACGGACAGTGCAACTCCTTCTACATCCCCAGGCACATCCGGAGGGAGGAGGGCGCCTTCCAGTCCTGTTCGTTTTGTAAACCGAAGCGTTTTACCACCATGACTTTCACATTGAACTGTCCGGACCAGCAGCCGCCCACCAAGAAGAAGCGCATCCAGCGCGTCAAACAGTGTCGCTGCATATCCATAGACCTGGACTAAAACACAGCGATTATGTGTGTGTGTTTCATGTCTTCTTCTTCTTCTTCTTCTTCTTAGTGGACTTGATAGCTGTCTCACAGCCAAGAAATTGTGCTCGTCTCCATCTGGAGATAAGCACCGCACACGCTGATACTTACGTCTCTCCTGTACAGCACGTGAGCCAATATGGACATGCAACTTAAAACAAAATAATAAAAAAAAAACGTCAAAAGCAACTTGTTACACATCACCAGACTAAAAAAAAGATCACTGCACGGAAACTCTTACTTGGAATGGGCATGCTTTACGCACGGCTTCCTCGCCCCCACAGGACTGCAGAACACCGGTTTTATTTAACTGCTCCAAAACAGTCCTTGTGACTGTTAAACGTCTCCGTCCATCCTGCATTTTACGCATATATGTTTGCTAAACTGGATGTTTCCACTGTGTGGAATTTGATAGGCGAACGACTTTATTTGTAAAAGGAGAAAAATGATTTTATTTCGATATTTCAAGAATCGTTCAAGGTTAACCTAATTGATTTCTGTGAATTTCGAAGTCCATTAGTGAAGTTTTCTTTCTATTTTATTTTTTATTTTTTTTGAAGTTGTGAGCTTAGTCAAATATAGAAACTATGGCTTCTGAAGTTAGTTTAAATGGAAGTGTACAGTGGTGGCTTATACATTACCGAGGTGAAATAGTTGTAAAATGTTAAGCCATTTTTGATGTAACCCATTTGTTTATTCATTTGATTAAATTATCCACGAAAACTAAATAAATGGATGCTGGAATACTGCGAAAATTATCTGCTGTGTTTTAAAAAAAACAAAAACAAAAAAGCTGAATCCCTCCATTCACCGTTTCCTGCTCCCCTCCTGCACCGAGCCAGGATCTTACCGAGTTACTCGCATTCAGACCCTGGAATATATTTTCCGTTTTGGGAAAAAAGCTGCAAGTCAGCTATTCCAGCGATCTGCTGAAATGATGGGATTCAATTTCACCGCATCTGGTTACAAGGCTCGCAAATCTGTCAGGTTCTTAAGGGAATTCTCAAGTGTAAATGAAAAGATGTTCTACTAAATGAACATATTTATAAATAAGTGGGTGATGGGGGGAAAATTTTAGAACTAGAGGCTTTGTTCTTTAGCCAGTCTACAATAAATACGACTGATGTATTCAGTCACAGTTTGCATTACTTTGGTTCACATAGATGTCAGTTACAGTTGAGGGAGGTCCCAACATTTCATTAAAAAAGGAAAAAAAAAATCATTTGGAAATTTTCTGATTCTTATTTGATCAACATAAAGTTTTTTTAATGAATATGTAATAACAGTTTTAAATCTCATTCAAATTATTAAAATACCAACCTCATCCAATTTTACATCCATTAAACCGATGTTATGAGAATTTCCTCCCAATTATTTTATTTCAGGAGATTTCCAGGAACTGGCACAACTTCTGACTCAGTTTATTGAACAGTCTGGCTGAATTATGAATCATCGAATGACTCAGGTTCCTTACATAAATATCATATTTTCACAGCGCGGGCCTAAATCGAGGCGTTGACAGCAGAAAACTGAAAGAAGCCGCATTAACATATCTTTCAAAGTCCACGTCTTCGTCCAAAATAAGCCCCACTTATTCAGCATCCCACAGTTTATTTCTTGAAATTTAAAACAATTCCATAAAATTACAAAGCATTCACATGAGAGCTACTGAAGGTCACATGAACCAACATACATACAGTAGAGGCTACAGCAATTCCTTGGTCAGCATCTGCTCATTTTCTTTATTTTTTATGTTTCTGGTTTTGTTTTTCCAACTCCTCTGGAGTAAAATATAGCAGTTTTAAAGTTTCGACTTATATAGATTTGTATACAAAATAAATGGCACAAGTGAAAGACTTTGGAGGGTAAAAACAAGTAATCGATCGAAGGGGCAGTTTATGGATAGTGTGACGATGAAATCTGAGGTATAACATCTCGCATGGCTCCAGGTGATCATCTTAAATGTTCACAGTACCCAAAATACAGTCATCATTACTCCAAAATATAAACATTAAACTTTCTGTCTTTATTCTGTGCAAAGCACTAGACTTCCATGAGCACGCTGGAAATCTTTACAACATACATAAAAAAAAAAAATACCCATGAATCAACTGACCTATCAAGCAACTTCTTAGTCAATTCAGTTACCAATCAAAATATACAAAACAAAGCTGGTTTTTTTTCTTTTTGGCGGGGGGGGGGGGGGGGGGGGGGGGGGGGGGCATAAAATAATTATTTTGTTACATAAATACAATTTTCTTTAGTGATACAGGAGCATAGCTACATCTTACATTAGTGAAAATAAAGCATGATTTTATTACACTTTTTCTATTTGTTCAAAAATAAAATAAGATTTCATCATGAAGAAATATAATTTATACATTTTCTAACGGGAAACGTTACTCTTGCATAGGAAAAAGGAGGTGCAAAACAGTGAAAGACAGCTGCAAAAACAACGCATGCGGTCAGCATGGGGGGTAAAACGACGTGCAGCAACATACAGCTAAAGCAAGCAGCTTAAAACTGTGTTGGGACAACGTCATGTACAGCATTCACTGAAGGATTAATAAGTTCTCTTTAAAACTGCAGGTGAGCCCAAAACCTGTTGTGTCATTCAAAACTATTACTATTATTTTTTCTTAGTCCAATTTTGTGTGAGCCGAGGCTCCGGGCCACATTTGTTGCCAGCTTCTGCTCTCCTCTGGCCGTCACCCAGGAGAGGTCAGTCTGGTGCAGTACAGCAAAACCTCACATTCTTACACATAGGCCCCCCCGCCCCTTTTAAACACGCACTCAACTTCTAGACGACGTGTCTTCGTCCGCACTTAAAGCCCAGCATAGATAATCTATCATATTTCCCAAAGCTGTACAGTCCCTGCCAGTTCTACTACATGACATATTTACAAGAGTTTTAATGAGCCGTGGTGAATGAAAAGCTACCCGCTACAGCGAAAGACACAGGAAAGTTCTTTCTCCCTGCTCCAAGTGAGAGATCTGTTTTGTCAACAGTGATTTTTTTTCTTTCCCAGCAGACACTTGCAGTAAAGCCATATCTGTTTGTAGGTCGACAACAACGTCTAAGAAACACAGCCCGCGCTGGGGCATCGTTTTAACACATACGCCATCTGATACAGTTTGGAAAAGAAACTGTTTCTCGTGCTTCGGAAGAGGTCCAGAAGGACGTTTGTGGATGTGTCAGCTGGCTCTGCTGTGCATCCCGCTGAACCCTGGAGACCTTTCACAAGCTGGGCACTCAGGGGTCACGCCATGCTGCATGAATGAGGTCAACCCTTTGGCCTTTATGACTCCCCTCGCTGCGGCTGCGGCGGCCAATCGTCTTCGCTAACTGGGGTTGTGCCAAAAAAGCCTCGAAGCGAAGGCGGTGGAGAACAGGGGAAGGGGAGGGGATGTCCAGTGCTGTTAGTGGGGCACAGATACGGTAGTGGGAGTAGTAAAAGTCTGACCATGTTTTATTGTGGGTCCGTACGGTGAACAGAGGGTAGGGTCCAGTGCTGCTGAGGCAGGTGGTAACTACAGGATGGATGGGCCCCTGCACCCTTCCTGGCGCACCACCGCCGGTCCGTGCTTCTTCTGCTCTGCCACTTATCATTCTGCTCAGCTGAAGGACACGCTGGCTTCCTTCTGTCGCAGCCTCTCCTTCTGTTGGCAAGAACCACAAAAAGATTCAGCGCATCGATTTCAGCTGCGACACAAGAAAGAGCGGCTTTTGGGAAATTCCATTTGGTCTCTGAATACAGATCAGCTCTTACCAGACTGTTGGCATTGATCTTCTTGGTTTCGACTCTCTTCTCTGCTGTGATCTTCTTGATGTTTTCTTGGGCTTCCTTCAACCTATGGAAAGAAGAAAGAGACCAGCAAGGCTCAACATTATCAGACAGTTAAAAGAAGTACACAATGAAACTTCTGCAAATCAATTGGGAACCAAGTGTAACCAGATCAAATACAAAGCCTCTCATCCTTGCACTCTTGTGAATTTGTTTATAAGAGCAAGACATTTAAATATCTTCCTGGGGCACCACAGAGCCATGCAGTGCCCCCCAGCCACACAAACACACACTCTCTCTGATCCACTCTGGAGTTTGCGGTCAGTGAAAGCCCTTTAAGTGGGAATGAGCAGAGAATGACAGCAGCTTGATGAGATAATGAGGCAACCTTAAAAAAACAAAACACTTGGCTTTTTAATGGGATCACAAACAGTATTTAAAATAAAGTTAAATGTACATAAGCACAATCAGCTGCGAGCAACAAGCGGCACGATTACCTAGTAAACAGGGAAACCATGTGATACTTAATGTGGCATAAAAATGACCACACAGTCTCTCTGGACAGCGAGAGCTCACCGCCTCCTTCGAGCTTAGCATCGCTACGGTGTTTATCAGTTCTCTAATAACACGCAGCTTTTAAACCACCACAGGCCACTGTCCGCTTGCCGGTCCTTTTTCTGGAACCCCCCAGCCCACTACCAATTACGCCTCAGGTCAGAGGAAACATAAATTCAGGCCCCTGTTGCAGGACCAAGGCCTCAGCTACTCCCCCATTCACCTCCTCTTTGATGGCCTCCCTCCTTGCTTTAATTACAACCCGGCATCTGCACATCACCCTTGTACAATTAGTGCTAATTTGACATGATGTCCAGAGGTGTTAAGCACCAATCCAAAGGTGACAGAAACAAAGAAGTCTAATCTGAAATGATTATGTTTTGAGTCTTGCAAAGTTTTACATTCCCTTCCTGACATTAGTTTTTTTTTAGAATGATTATTTCTAGCATACTCACAGAAAACAGGGAAAATTCAGTCATGTGTTTTTGTTTTTTTTTAAAGATTGTTGGATTATTCAGTAACCCTAATAACGCCCTTCCTGACTCCTTTCTCCTGATTTCTTCTGAGACTTAACCCAGTAGTGGTACCAGCTCACCTCTCCTTGGAGATGTTCTTGCTTTGTCGTATCCAAGTGTTCTTGAAATCGTTGCAGAATTCGTACCAAAGCATAAAGATGTAACTCGGAGCTACTTCTTTCTCCCCGGACTTTGGCTTAACACCAAAGTAGTTCACCACGTCCTGGAAACTGTAGGGAGGGGTGGAAACACAGCAAAGGCTCAAACAGTGTTGTCTTATCACACATAAATAATCTCAGATTTTGACTGAAAGTATGTTTTTGTGAACTAATCTGGATTTTAAACAACATTAGAAAGTACAAGGCAGTTACGGTATGTAAACCCGTGAAACCAGAGAGAGCGAGAGAGGAAAAGAGTTTAAAATAGTAAAATGTAGAGAGAAAATGATGGATTTAGAGTCAGCAGGAGAGGTGAGAAACAGAGCTGGAAGGAGAGCGTCCACCCTGCTGGGCCACAGGGGAGAGCCAGTAGCGGCGGCTCCATTATCACATTGACCTCCACAGCCTGCATGGGAAGACTGCCAGAAGAGATGAAGACAGCCAAGAACAGGCTCCTATTCCTCCAAACACACCTTCTGTCTCTCTCACAAACACGTACGTTTTCACATATTAGTGAGGACTTTAAATTCACATATGCTTTTCCCAGCCTCCTACCTTAACCACCAGAAATGAATGCCTAACTCTAACCATAACTTAAATGTAACTTCAGCTGTAAAACCATATTTTGAGCCTCAAACATGCCTTCAAATTTGTGAGCTCAGCATTTTGTCCCGACAAGTGACTGTTGGTCCCTACAAGTATAGTGGTCCTAGAAACACATTTAAACAAGTATACACACGACACACACACACACACGCTACTATGGAACTCACAACCACAAAAACATGTTCACTGGCAGACAAATCAAAGACGGGAATGCACGCATAAAAACACAAAGACAAATCAGAGGAATAAATGTAGTCTGGATTTTTGAGGGTGTTTCTACTCACTGAGCTACAACACTGTTTAAGGCCAGCTCCTCAGCTAATTCAATTGTAACCAAATCTGAAGTCTTCGCAAGGCTCTCAGCGGCACACACGAGGCAAGAAAAGCAGCCTGCTGCTTCAGATTCCCCCTTCTCTAACCCAAACATGAAAGACATTTTCTGGCCTGTGCCTCTCCAAAAAAGGGGGGTTGATAAAAGGGAGCCATGATTCAAGGGATGCTCTCCTGTCCCACTGACGCCCAAATACGCTCTGACCTCCAGATGCTAGGTGGCTTTTGTGCGACACTAATCTGAGACAAGTTCACTTGGAGTCAAATGGTGCACAATATGGTGACCAGACGGCCAGCTACAAGTTTGGAAAAAAAGAAAGAAAAGTTTTTGCATGAGTCTGCTTCCCATTTCCAAGTGATGCGTCATTTTTGCTGGGATGCACAAAAACAGGAGAGCGCTGTAGATCATCCTGTAATCTAAAGAAGCAGCTAGAAGAAGAAAATGTTCCAAGATGTTTAGATTGACCAAAACAGACGTGCTGTCACAGGCAGCTTTGTTGTCTGCTCTGGCATGACGAACTGGGTCTCTTCTCCACCGGCTCGTCTCTTGACCCTGGGTCATCATGTCAAAAGCATGCACTTAATCAGAGCAACAAGCTTTTCTTTTTAGCCTCATGAGCAAGCAGAAACAAGCCGATACACAAAGCCTCACTCAAAACAGATGCAAACACTCTCGCACATACCTAGAAAACAAACAAAATCAAGCGGACCTTTGTTCATTTTGCCATCGCAGGCTGATTTCACTTTTGCACATATGACGACATGTCAGTAATCCACGCTATGATGCCATTGCCGTGAGAGGGTTTTACTGCAGCGCCCACAGCTCAGCATTCCTCACTGACAGCTATAAAAAAAGACCCATTACAAAACCATGAACAGACGTGAGAATCAGCAAAGTATTTAGACAGGCAACTCTGCATTCCTATGTTTTGGCAGCAAAAAGATTACAGGCATAAACCCCCGTGTTGTTGGCTGATTCAGCAGAGGCACAAAGCGGAGGCCATCTTTTCATATGTAATGACGGAGTAGAGTAATATACCAACTAACAGCAGCAAAACCATAACTGCACAATGACTATAGAGTTGGCACTTGGGCCAAATGAAATTGAGCATGATGGGGAAGAAGGAGGCTTAATGAGACGGAACTGAGGACAGAACCAGAAAACCTCAGTGGAGCCCAAACACGAAGCAGACAAATTAGGAGTGCATGTTGAGGAAAAGGCTTCAGCGCTCACTATGGACAGATGAGAGGAAAAAAAAACCCAAACATTTTTGCTAAATTCGTTTTAAGTTACTTCATTAAAAACTCACAAGCCATTGCATCTTTTTGTGTGTGCTATTTTAACTGTTAAGCTGCTCAAATGTTGCAACTTTTTGCTGTGCTCCAATCACATTTCAGGCGTCTAGGCTGTCTAGCATACATGATTGTTTACTCTAAGTGGTTTTATTGGGTCTTCATTAAGTCTGTTGACTTTTTTTAAATGTATAAAAGGCATACTAGGGAGCAAATGCAGTATATAGGGCAAAAACAGTTGCTGTACAATTCCAATGAGCTTGAAAGTCAGTGTTTATTCAACCCACAGCCTCTGTCAGGAAGCTTCCTTGTCATTTCTTTAAGCAGTCTTCAGGCTTCTTGAAGGACATTCAAAGTGCTTCTTTGGATATCGTCTACCTTTTCTTTCATTCTCTATCAAAATGATCCCACGCTGTCTCAATAATGTGGCGGTCTGGGTCAAACCATTACTGATAGAGTTCCTTTGTTTCTTCTATGTAGGCATGCTTGTAATGCCGAGAGTTTCCTCAAAATTTTTTTAACGACACACTTAACTCATTCACTGCCATTGACGTCTATAGATGTCAATTACGTTTTTCAATGGGAGGGGCTAGAATACAACCTCGGGCAGCTTGTCAGTGAACATCAGACTGCTTGAAATGTATTTTTCACAAAAAGCTCGTTTTCTCCCTTTTTGTGGTCAAAACAGGCATTTTTGGTGGAACCCACCTCTCTTCTACAGCTGATTACTAAAGAATGGAAAATGGTAGAAACAAGCTTTTTTTTTTGGATGGAAGAAGAGAGTCTGTTCTTCATTTTGGTAGGTTCAGCGTTTATATGATCATAACACACAGTTTTCTGTGGCTCTTCAAAAATGAGTAAAAATGCTCAAAAACCCTGGCAGTGAATGAGTTAAGCTAACAGCTCTTTGCTAATGACCATGTTGGTGGTGCACAAATACTATTTTATGTCTGTCAAACTGTTTTATCTTTTTGACAAATTAAAGAAATAAAAGCAAATGATGTGTTTTTGCAACAGGCTGCTGTTTACAAAGTGCCTAAAGATGGAATTCCAAGTCTGCTTCCTTGAAAGCAAAAAGAAATGAAGGGTGGCCAAAGTTTCTGCACAGAACTGCATGTGTGTCGATGATACATTTGGTTTATAATTTTATATGTGCGAATTCTCAAAACCATCTTGTTTAAATAAAGGTTACATTAAAAAAAGAAACTCAAACTAAAACCTCATAACTGATGACAGCTGTTATATCTCTTTTTCCCCCTTTAACAAAAAGCGACAAGAAGCAATAAAGTCCAAATAACAGATGAACCATCATCACCAATGAATGTGAGCTGCGACTCATCTCAGGAGACGGTCTAAGGAGAGGGGACAGATTGTGATGTGCGATCTAACAAAATGTACAAAGTAATTGATCTGACTGCTCTCCGATGAGGGTTGTTTGTTCTTGTTCTGCTGTATGTCTACTGTATCGACACATTAGGTCACTGAGAGAAACAAATAACATGTGTTCACAAGCCTGGTTAATAAAAGCTCAACATTGTAGCCATGACAGAAGATTCTACACATCTTAAGCCACGAAACATAGAAGATCTGTCAGCCACCTGAGCCGTGAACTGGGTGAAAAACTTCCACCAATTACGTATCAGGCCAAATATGAAATATGGACACAATCCAGCCCTCTGCTGAGTTATAGCAGTCAGTATTGGCCACTTGACTAAAATGTCATGGCATCATCACTTCATCCAACTGGACATTTGCTTGAAATTGTTTCATAATTGCTGCAAGAGTTCTTGCATTACAGCCAAAAATGTGTTTTTTTCTGAGGTCACAGTGACTTTGATTAACAAAATGCACTCGGTTCACATTTGAGGCCAAGTGGGTCCGTGTGCCAAATTTGAAGAAATGTACTTGTACTCATGACGCTTCCGAAAGGTTGCGCTCTCGAGGACGGGAGAGGGCAAAGGACAAGCCGGAAACATACGAGGCCGACATGGAGGCTCGGTGACCGTTAACAGTAACATCTTCTGTGAAATCATGCTCAGGTTTGACATCTAGCCCCAATTCTTGTCAAAATCCTAATTCACATTTCCCAGTCGATGCCTGCTGTGTGTGTGTGCGTGCGAGCGTCAACTCAGAGGCGTTTAAACTCTGAATCCTCATGAGGTCTAGACTGAGGTATTAGGTAGCACTAAGGATGTGTTGTCTATTTCTTTTATTAACACAAGCCATAATCTCAACACTGCTGCTGTTATGCCTTTGTGTGAGGATCCCTCATCCAGCACAGATGTGAGAGCCCACCCAGGGCCCAGAGAGCCCTCTGACGCCCATATTCATCAACGGCGTGTCACTTTTACGAGGTGGCTCTGTGGGAACCCGAGAAAGACCCCTGCCTCCCTCTCGCTCTACCTAGCACCAGTCAGCCAGCCCCCTCTTTAGATGAAATTAAAGGAAAACTTCATTAAAGCTAAAAGGTGCTGTCAGCTGCGGGGCCCTTTTGATCAATATTCCCCTCCAAGTTCAACACCTTCATTACAGTGGTGTCACTCATTCACAAGGGGGGTGCAGACAAAGGCACGCGCGCCTGGTTCAACAGAAACATCGCTATATGGCGAGGGTGGGGCCGGGGAGGAGGAGAGGTGTAGCCATTCTCTCGGTGATTATCTTGGCTCAAAGCAGCAACATGAAACAGAACAGCTCGGGGCCATTTGCTGAGTTAGTGTTGTCCAAAGCAATCAACTTTCTAATTGTTTATAGTTTACATTTACTCGCGTCCGGAGCCTTTCGCTTTCTCCTTTATGCACTTTTCTTGATTTATTTTGGAAGCGGGCGAGTTACGATATAAAGCAAACAATCCCGCTCGCTATCCAAACACGGTAAAAAATAATCTATTTGCTTTGTTTGTCTGCTCCACCATCTTTTTCCAATATGATACGTTCCAGATATGATTTCTCTCGGACGGTGAGCTCAGCAGCTGCCGGTGGGTCTCGCGCCTATAAATCAGATGCCTCTCAGAAAACTCTCAGGAGTCTTCTGCACAAAACATGGCAGATAAGAATGATTGGAACTGCAAGGGAGGAAGCACAGAGGATCCAGTGAAAGTACGTGGGTGATAAGCCCAAGACATGTTGCTTAACTGTCTTAAAGATAAATAACTCAAATAATCTCTCCTTGTGCACATATGAATGTGTGCCCAATCTTCAACAATAAATGTGAAATATGCATCATCTTATACCTGTCCAACGAATGGCCGCCTCACTCATCAAAGTGCTTACATGCCGAGACTGGTGCATCTTTGCAGAATCCTTAATATGTGCATACAGCTATATGCATAGAAAGCATTAGTTATCAGATACCACAAACTTTATCTCCTCATATTGAGGCTTGCTACATTACTCACAGCTGTGTGGCGCCTGCAATCACTAACACTTGGCAAACTTCCCTGTGTTGATGGGAAAATATGATTTTTTGTTTGTTCCAGTGTAACTTTTCCTCCAACATTTATTAGCTTGTAGCTGTTACAGTGCATTTCCCACCTCTTCTGTGCTGCATTAAGTTGGTCCTCTTCAGCAGAATGCTCCTTTTGAGCTGCAAAAAACACAGAAAGAAAACATTCAGACAGGTCATGGGGCAAAATATGAGGCTTGTGTAGACACTGCTAACCAAATGTTTCATTAAAAGCGGACTCCAGAGGGGGGCGCTGTGTTCATTAATCATCCTCAAAGCTGAGGGGAGAAGAAGAAGGGCTGTGGGGGTTGAGATGTCACTGACGGTGAGCATGTTATCCAAGCAACTGTTAAGCACTTTGTAAAGTCTGACATTACTTCTGTGTGTTTGTGCACGCGAGTCCCCACGAGAGCGAATCCTCACCTCAGCCTCAGGATGGTGGTCCGTTTGCTGAGGTGTGCGTGTCTGTGTGTGTGTTGTCGATGCAGTGCTGAAGCCGGGGTGGAGGGCTGAGCGGAGAGGCTTGGGAACTGGAGGCTCCTGTGGACTCCTGCCATGTAAAAGTGTCTAAATGCAAGGCAGATGTGTGCGGCGGGCCAGGCCGAGGTGCAAGAATTTATCTAGGGCCAGAGAGTGCCTGTGATCTCAGATTTATAGCATTTTTCCAGATTCATCCTTTTTACAATGATGGGGGACCTTTCCTACTTGAAGATTTAAGAGGGGGAAGTCTCCAAAAAATTGTTCAAAGGCAGGTTTGGGGGTCTTCTGGGAGAAGGTGAACTAAAGCCTTCGATCAACCACCCGGTTTACTTTTCATCTCTCTCTCTTTTTTTTTTTTTTTTAAACATGTATGTGGGCAAGAGGGTTAAGGTAAACCTAATGAAGGGGGGGTGGCAATGTCTGGGATAAAGGGAGGTGGTGGGGGGGGGAGTGGGGCCGTGACCAATGGCGTTAGTCTCAGTGGGGGTCAGGCTGGCGCCTGAGGTACCCCTCTGGTGCGACTTTGCAGAGGTGGCATAGGAGTCGGGAGGGAGGGTTCAGGGAGAGCGAGAGAGAGATTGGCTCAGAGAGGGAGAGGATGTGTGAAGTTTCTCTTCCTCCGCTCCCCCGTGCAAACATGAAACCACTAGTCGCTAACTAGAAAGTTATGAGACGCGCATGCTGAGAAGGACAATAAAGCGAGGCTTTAAAACTCTGACACACTTTTCCAAACTGCCGCTTTACCTCGCAGCCAGATGACAAAGAGATGTAGAGCAGTCTGAGAGGGGATGCTGGAGATATAAAAACAAACCAAACACCCCTTTTCACTCCTGAACAACTCCACTAACAGAACAGAGACACATCTCAAAGACTTTAGATTAGAAGTGGCTCCTTGGACGGTTGTTAAGCGCAAATTTCACTTCATCTACGTAATTCACAGGCAGTCTGAGCGAGTGGAGTTTTGGTTACTGACTCACTAACAACAAAGGAAGCGCGAGGAGGTGATGATACGCACGCATTTTCCGAGGAGAGACGGTGAAACGAGATTTACGCAAGCCGAGATAAAAAAATGAAAAAAGGCGCAGGAATTTGTTTTCAATTAGTCACGGTGTATATTCAACATGAAAAATATGCCAGTGTCAGTATCCCCAGAGGTTTCAGAGCGTCCAATAAAACGGCAAAGAAAAAAAAAGTGGTTGATTAGATGTGTTTAAAAAGAAAAAGCGTAACCTGGATTTTTATTTTAAGATTAAACAAAGGAAACAAACCGAGGCATATTCCAGAAAATCAGTATACAGGATGAAATAAATATAAAATTTAAGGTTGGACATATGACGGAGAAATTAAAATAAAAGAACAAGCAAATTCCAGAGGATAAAGGTTACAGGATAAGAGCAATGGAGAATTGTTTATTTTTAATGGAAGTCTCGTAATTATGGTTACATACTGCCGTTCAGGTAGAAAGCCTTTGAGACAAGAGGGCTCAGCTGGCTCACTGCTCAGTTTCTAGAACCACAGTATCCATTTATGCAGGCACCACCAGGCCTAAGGATGTGATCACAATATTAAAGCTACCACTGTTGCCTCACTTCAGTTAGCGAAAGTGGTTTAAATCAGATGTGGTGGATTTCCCTACACTCTTCCTTTTGGGTCATTTCCAGGAATTCTCATCACCCTAAAGCAGGGATATCAAACATTAGGTCCACTCCAATCCACTGGATAGCCTCGGAAAATGTGGAGGGGGGTATACATTTTGGACTTTTTAGTTTTACATCTTTTTCTACTGATAAAGACCTCCCACACAGACATTTATACTATGCCAAAGTAATTAAGTAATGATTAATGAACCACTTAATGACAAAAAAAGTTTCAGTTTTTTCACCATCTACTGTAGAAACGTATGTTTTTTTTAAGTGGATCCACAGTAAATACCATAATAAATTTTCTGGAAATTAATACAATTCCAGCATAGTTTGTGCAATAATATACCAGAACTATTTCTGCAGTTTTACACATTAATTTTGTCATTTCTAAGCTTGAAGAGTCGTGCTGAGAGATTTATTTTATTTACAGCAGAATTTGGTTTATCACATAGACGGAGATGAAATTGCACAGCTTATTCTTATATTAAGAAATCTGAAGCATTAAAATGTGCAGTTAAACTCTTTACACCGTCAAAAAGTGGAGTTTTACTGCTTCGGCCCACTTAAGTGAGCTATATGTGGCCCATTGTGTAAAATGAGTTTGACAAGCGAACACTAGAGGACTTTGCTAATGCGTGGGTCAGAAAGGAGACAAGATGGTCCGAGTTTGTCAGTGCAGATCTGCTCCTTGTCCCTAAGAGTGATCCACCGAGGCGAGTCGGCTTTATTAGGCCACAGCTAAGGATGTCCTGCCAGCTTTATGGAACCCACGAGTACATAGGACCCATGTTAAACGCAACGTGATCTCTTCTACAGGCCTGTAGACTCCTGTCCTCATGCTGTCTTACAGGGCACCGAGACGCCCCTTCTCAGCAAGAACAAAAACACCCACGTTCACCAGGAGACGGGTTCTCTACCAACGAGCTGACTGTCTGACGTAGCAAAAAACCCCAAAAAACAAAACATAATTACAGCTCCCCGTTTTAAAAAGGACTCATGCTGTGTGTCAGGGTGAAAACGGGGCCTTTCTGTCTCCCGGAGCTCGGTTTTGCAGCCATCTCACTGGTTGTAAATCATCTCTCCAAATGATTGTTTTATTTTTTAAAACACCTTCACATGAGCCAGGCCCACTCATGAGCACGAGTGAGGGCAAACATCCATTATGGCTATTGGAGGGAAAGGACTTCAGTGTCATTTAAAGGGAGCGGGAAAGATTAAACAACGTATCCCTCATCTTAATTTAACAGCAGCAGGAAATGGTTACTGCTGAACATTTGGAAAGGAAAGCCAAGGTTTACACGCACATCACAATAGTAATTGTACTAATTTAAATAGTAATCTTTGTGTTATGTTTTGGCAAATATTTAGTGTTGATAATGAAGACTGTGGACATTATTTTTGGAGGATTCTTATAGGTAAAAGCAGCCATGTGAAATGAGACATTCCTCAGAAAAAACATCAAATCCACACGTATTTACATGATCATGGCACTTAAGAGTAAAACTACAAAGAGAAGAAAAATAAGGAACATTTCTTTCCTTGTTTTAGATAAACAGGAACATGTTAACTTCACCCACCAGCACAGACGAATCCCTCCATCTTGTCCTTGAAAGGCTGCAGGTGTTCTTCTGATGAGTTAGCGCAGACTTTCTGCACATCCTTCTCACACGCTAGAAGAAGGAAAGAACAAAGAAAGAAAAAAGAGATGAAAGAAGGGCCTAAAGTGAGAGGTACAGATATACGAATAAAGTTAAAGTGTGTCTATCATTCAGGGCTGAAATTTATTCAACTTGTCTTTCTATGAGTGTATTTTGTAACACATCTCATTTTAACACAAGGATTTAAAAGGAGTTCTGATTCCTGGTAATCAGGATAAAAAAATGAACTGACAGACATTAAATAAAAAAACTTTACACTACATTTGCTTGGAACAACATTTTTTATAATAAAGTTTTGCACATGTAAGTAAAGTAAATGCCACTAGAACAGTGCTCTGAAAAGATTGCAATGCATTGCACCGTTTTTTCATCTTTATAAAATACAAATATTCAGAGTGTAATGCATAGATGTTTTTGCCTGTAATATTTGGCCTTAAACGAGTGCTTACAGTAAGCACAAAGCTGCGCTTTTATTTTGTCCTCTAGTTCCACATTTAAACCAGTTTTCTCACCCATCCTCAGATTTCCCACCCCGCGCCTCGATTTACGCATCAGGCACATGCCAGTTTGCATATTGTCGAGGTTTATTTAAAACTAGTTTACACAATGGTGACCATTTCATTTGTATTCTACCTTCAGCGCTGGCCACATGTGTGAGCGGAGCAGATGTGTTTGCTGTTTGTGGATGCCCCCCCCCCTCTGCCGTGCCAAATGATCCAACTCACACAAGTTCAGAGGAAACAGCCGTGAGTGAGCGTGTTCCAGCCGAACCTTTCCCCATTTCCTCTCAACTGTAACTACACACACACACACAGACGCCTGGCAAAAAGAACTTTGCACAATCCTTCAACCTGTAAGTCATTAATGGCAGCAATAAATACCTAAACTTGCTTATGACAGCATAGCTAAATAGTTCTGCAACAGAACAAGAGCATTAACAGGTCTGGCCGCAGTCTAACTTCACTGTGTCGCCGCTTTAACATCTCAGTTTGGCTCTCGTGCGTTTGCATGCGGAGCTGCCGCACCTGTAGTCCGGTAAACCCGCTCTATTGCTTGGTTTTATTTACTGGGTGTCTTATTAAACGAGACAGGAAGCACGACATCCCAGCATTAAAACTGAGACGCAACTACGTCAACAGCCGCTCGTTCTGGAATCCAGGGCTCTATTTAAAAGTGGGAGCCAGCAGTTATTCAAATAAAAAGACAGAACTCAGCAAGCACACAAACATGACAACCAAAATATCCTGTTTGGACAAACCACATTTCCTTAACAAAAATCCCCCCACTCAAAAAGACCCATTAAAAAAAAGTGTTCAAAACAGCAAGTCTACAATTTAGAGGCGGCTCGCTTCCAAATGTGGTCCAGACAGCAAAGGCCGCAAGGAGGAAGCCCACAAAAACACAACAGCTGTAAAGAATAAAAGCCCAGGGCTCGGGTTTGAGACATTGTCTTGGAGTGATAATACATTTTTTGGAAAAAAGTGCATTCAGGAGGAGGACTCTCCTGCAAGCAAATGACTGACGCCATCAGGCCAGAAAAATAAAGCCAAACTTCTGTTAATGGTAACGTGAGTGTAAGTGAGCTAATCGCAAATACGTACAAAAATTAAGCTTAAGTAAAAAAAACTAATCTTAATGTTTGCATGCAAGTTTTTTTTTAAAGATAATGGAGTAATAGACGACTTAATCAGCTCTGTAAATTAATGTAAATTAATAGTCTTCTTGCATTACAAATGCATTTTTTAATCTTTAGTAAAAAAGTATAATGAAAGAAATTTATTTTAAAGTACGCACTGAAATTTACAGCACCTATTTAATGTACTTTAAATGGTTTCTTATAGGTGTACCTAATAATATCTTCTTAAATAAGACTTCTCATTTAAAAGGACGCTGAATAAACTAATTAAATTTAAATAATAATAATGTGAATTACCATCAGAGGTACTGCATATATACATGCGCACCATACACAATTTACAGAGCCAACATTGGGAGGATGTAGTAGAACATAAAAACAGGATTTTTACTCTTTGCTTTGTTGGGCTCTCTGTCCAGACAACAACAGCTCTGCCCTTTAAATCCCAGTCCCCACATCACTGATCAGAGAGCACTGGTTTTATGCATTGCTGTATTTTTTTTATTTTTTTATTGTGATTTGCTTCTAAGACTTTGGTGGACAATGTTTAAGCAGCAAAAAGTAGTAAAAAAAAAAAAAAAAAAGCAATATTTTAAGAACATGCATGAACAAAGCCAAAGAGTCATAGGTACAGCAACGAGGAGGATGAACAGAGTTAACGGAGCTGACTTCCTGAGACACTCGAGCAACACTTACAAAAACATGCATTTCTAAGGACACACTGTTGAATCCATTATATGCAAATGTGAGACTTGCATAATATGAGGTAATGGGCCAACAATTGTGCGTTTAAAAAACAGAAATATTGAAAAAAAAAAAATTTGGGTGGTGGTGATGGGGTTAAGTGGGAAGAAAAACAAACAGAAAGACAGACTTTTGCTCCATTTTCCAACCCTGTGTGGTTTGGAAAATGGGAGCTTTTGATGTTAACATGTACTTATGATTTTTACTGTTGTAAGCAAGAGCCCCCGCTGAAGCTACCAGGAAATCGCAGCCAGCCAGGACAATTCACGACTACGGAAAGTCGACTTAAAGACAAAGCCTACGAGTGGACGGAGACTCTGCGGAACACCACAAGATCTCAACCATGGCTGTTTGATGGATGGCTCGGTCTCACAAATGTGCCCATTACACTCCACTACCTCCCATTTGTGAAGCTCTGGTTCATGAGGAAGCAAAATCCACCGAAGAAGCAAACAAATGAGACGAGGAGACGCACAGTAAACGAGAGAAAAGATAAAAATCCTCCTCAGAACATTTTAACTCATTTGATAATTAATTTTTTTAAATATTTTAATGTAAGTTATATTCAGAATGTAACAGTGAACTTCATAAACTTTGCTGCACTCTTTTTTCCCCCCAGGAGGTTAAACCAGTCCAGTGCTCCAGCCGTGGCACATTCTAGTTATTTATACCTGGAAAGTGAATTCTCCCACTGATCTCCAATTATCTTTAGTTCCAGTGGTCTGTCAGTATCCAGCTCTCCTTTCTATGGGATGAAAAATGCTATCACCTCTCAGCAAGGCCAGCCAGGAGACTGCCGTAGGGTAAGGCGTTCTCTCTCCTTTCCATCCCTCATAAATCAACTCATATCCACCTAACTACAACTCTTCTCCCTTTTTTGCTGGAAATACAGCACTGACAGGTAGAAGCTTCAGGCAGGACTTTGAATATCAGCAGCAGCACTGAAATATGGCTTCAAGATGCATTAAAAGGAAAAGGTGCTTTTGTCTATATCTTTACAGATATAGACAAACTTTACATTTCAAATGCATCCATCCATTTTTTAGCTCTTTGGGTATGTGACATATGGACCTGGGGTTATCCGGGTCTATGCAGCCATTCTGCAATGTGCTGACAAATTTATTCGTATTCAAAAAGCTAGAAAATCGCACGATTACTTGCAACAAATCAACCAACATAAAAAAGGATCCGATTTTAGAGTAATTTTTGCCTTGTTTGGTCAACAGAATTCACTCATTCTGTTCCAAGCTGAGGCTCCATCGTAAAACAGGCCTCAGGCTAAAGGCCCAGCCTGAACCTGACATTAAAAGGCCATTTAAAATCGGGACACTGTCTGATTTGCCACAGTGATGAATGCCTAACCTAGGCCGGGACTTCTGTGAAACACTAAACTCCCCTGAGCAGCAAATGAGCTCTGACTGTTTCTTTTTATTTGATCCCATTTCATTTGGTTGCATCCCTTCCCATCTGTCTGGTTCAATTATGTGACCGTTAAAGAGATCTTTTAGTAGGTAGCCGCTGGTCGAGAAGGGAAAAGGAATTCTGGGAAGACTTAAGAACTTTGAGTTGTGCCAAATTTTAATGATAAACTTAATCTTTAGTGCCGAGTTCTAAAGACTGATGCACAAATTAACCACAGCATGGTTTGTCTCACTGGGAGCTCCGAGTCCTACAGTAGGTTTAAGTCCTTATGGCCTCTCACTCATCCCTCTCCCTCTGAGAGCAGCACAGAAAAGGTCATCACCCTCTTCCCAAACAGGAAGCCCCATCAAAAGAGGATCACGTTTCTGCACAAGCCAGTGAAGAAGAGGGCAGCCAAGTGGACGGCAAGCCCTCTCCGGAGCAACTCAGCTCAAAGCTCAGAAACATACAGTATCCTAAATGTGCCCATGGCCCACGGAGGTGGACTAAGCTCAGCAGGGATGAAGTTCTCACTCTCAGCATCACAACTCCTTGCCTCTGACCCAAGGCTGCAGGGCAAGACACCGGCGACCACTGCAGTCACCACCTGAGGGGTGGGCTGCTCTGCTCGCCAAAGTCAAACAGTGCGAGTAAACCAAAGCGTGATCCGATGTTAGCTTCTCAGTGTCAGGCAGTGCTCTCGATGTGGATGGAAGTGATCTGTGTTAGCTTTATAATTAAGACCAGTTGCTTTCTTTTGGCTGGTTTATAATAGCCTGGCATAAATATTTATTCCTGGCGGCTGGAGAGGATAAAAATGGTGGGAGTCATAGGTGGAGCTCAGCAAACATCCAGAATCCAGGGCTTGCCCTGTGATGCAAATACCCCTAAGGACTACTGTGCCAGACTGCGTTGCAGCAGAGATCAAATACGAAGGCCCTCGTGTTGCATTTATTGTCTTCAGGTCTTCCATTTTTCCTAATAAATGAGTGACAGCTTGAGGTGGGTCTGGGTACTTTAGTAGACTCTTTGTATTTTTCCCTCGGGTCAGAGAGGAGAGGGCTTTAACAGCAATCTGAAAGACGCAGGGGAGAGCTGTGGAGCATATCTAATTGCTTTCATATGCCGTATTATTGGTTGATTTAAATAACGACAGACACAAGGGGCACCGGGGGGCATCGCCTTTAACCTCCGTGTGGCCCTGGCCAAGACTAACTGGCTGCTTGGCTGGGTTACTGAGTGGCTCGGCGCCCAGGACACTACCAGCACAGAACATCAAAAGTGTATTTAATTTTTAATCCCCCTATTGTCCCTCTGATGTATCCTCAGTGACCTGGAATTTGTTTTTTGGGTTTTACTCTAGCTTTAAATGCTGCACAGACAAAGATATAAAGATGCCAAATGTCTTGCCACTAGTCCTGTAACAGGAAAGCCTGTCGTGTTATGATGACACGGTTGTTAAGATACAATATCTGGGAATTGGGAAAGGCTCCCTCGGGCCATTCGAGGTCCTGAATAAACCCAGAAACCTCCCTGCAGAGGGAGGGGAGAGTCCACGGGATGTGCATTTACATTTAAACTGCTCTGGTGAAAGATGGTAATGTATACAATTACGCTGACTGATTTACTGGGGAACAAAGATAACCTAAGCAATAAATTCAATGTGGTAGAAATGAACCCGCTTATACGAGTGGGGCACGTCGTACCGGTCAGATCTTTCTTGAGTTTTCGGAGGTCTTTGGCGAGGTCATCAAACTTAACCTGAGAAGCCTGGAAGACGTTCTGTGGCTCTGGCAGAGGGAACACACTCTTTTCCGTACCAGCATGCTGCAATAATGAAGCAACGTGTTACTTAGGAGACATTTAAAAGCTGTTAAACTTTATTTTTTTTAAAATGATTAATTTACCTCATCAAAATTACGCAAGTAGTATAAAACCACGTAATCCACCAAGTTCATGCGATTGTCCTGAAGAAAGAAAACAGCAAAACAGACAATTAAGATAAAGGGCATGAATCAGCTCACTAGGATATTACTCTACTTTTATAAGACTTTAGAGCCTTTAACGGTTTTACCCGGCTCTTGACGTCCTTTAGCTTGGGGAGGATCTCCAGCCCAAAGCCATCAGCCTGCCCTCTCGTCCTGTTCCCTCCATTCATATAGTTCCCAAAGGCCAGAACGAGACCTATTATATCCCGCAAACTGTTGCAATCAAGCAACTCCTGACATTGACAAACACAGTTTGTTTGGGGTTAGTTCTTGTAGGCGGACACTTTTTAAGCAGTTTGTTGTCGTGACGTTCTTACTTTGCTGACGTTGGAGATGATTTCCACCTTGCGACGTATAGAAGAGACGGTGTCGAGGAATACCGACTGGAAGATGATGCATCGGGCTCGGCTCGCAAAGTCCGGAATTTGAGAGAGTTCATAGAGAAACCTGAAAAACAAAAGGGGAGGAGGGGCAGAGAGAGGATGAGAAGGAGGTGGAAGAGTATGGGATGTGTTATGACAGAATTAAACAAAACGTCTAACAGGAAGAACTATTTTGGGTCCTTGGCAGGCCCAGCTTCCCCACGCAGGCTGACTGAGTCAACGTTGCTGTTCGCAGGCAGGCAGCTGCTAGTCATGAGCCGCGCTGCTCGGCTGGGTTTGAAAGGTCCGCGGGGTCGGGTGGAGGAAAGCGGCGAGCGGCGCACGGAGACTGATCAAAGGTAGCTCTGGCCTGATGCGGGACGACTTATGTAAACAGTGCCGTGTCGGAGGGGAGCGGAGTGGAGTGGTAACATCCTGTGTGATTAGACCCTGCTGATGGAGGTAGACACTGAGTAGGGATGACTCAGGAGGCTATAGTGACAGCTCTGGTCAAACATGGAAATAGGAAGGCCAGGCTGAATGGCACCGCTGGATCCAGGCCTCGTTAACTGCTTAACCCTGACAAAAACTACTGAAGCAGTGTCCATTAATGCACATTTTTGCACGTACGCAAAGGCTATGTAAAAATGCACACTTTGTGCAGAAACTAATGACGAAGCCCTGAGATAGATATCCATAGCTCTATATCTCTGTATCCTTTCACACATAATCAAATTGGTGAGACCTGATTCAAAACAAAATCTTACTGTTCAGGTTTGTCCAGCAGTTTCACTTCGTCTTCTTTGGATGTCTCATAATGTCTCGTTATCTTTTCCATCTCGTCACTGGTGGCCCTCTATGGAGAGACAATGCAAAGGTCATTACAAAGATGTGGCTCAATACTGTGATGAAATATACGTGATTCAACTTTTTGTTAGAGAAGATTTTAAGATGCATCTGTATAGAAACCTTATTTGCTTCGGTAACACCATATATAGTGGGGGAAATATTGATATTCTGTATCTCGCCATTAAAATGAAGCTAACAGAAAAAAAAAATTAGAGAAAACGTACAAATTCAGCAGGGAGTCGAATGATAATTTCCCCTGATGTAGATGTTATCTAGTTTTATTTTAAACTTGTGAAAACTTTAGAAACTTTTGTTTAGACATTTAAATGTCACACACACGCTACTTACGTTTTCATATAAAGCCTCAATTGTCTCCAAATCCACCACAGAATTGTCCACATTAAGAACAGCTGGAAAAGATAACAGAAGCAGTCGGTGTTATAAAGAACAGACCCACAACAGCCCTTTAATTTACTTACAGGCTGAATAATGGAACATTACATTTGTGGCAGCTTTATAGAGCCTATATTCATATTTGACAGAAAAAGATTTCCCAAACCAGTAAAACAAAGAATGACATTAAAAAAACAAACAAAACAAGTGAAGTGCATAACTCAGTTGCCATTTAACTGAATTATACACCTAATTTACAATATTAGCTTGAGGTAGTAAAGCTGGGAGTGTGGCCAGGCTGAGCACACTTGAGTCTGAGACCGCAGATGCTGAGTGTACGCCGAAGCTCCTTTCCCCCCTCTTGTCGTGGACAAGCGAACTGGGGGACGAAGCCCGTCAGCACGGCAAAGAAAGGAAAGCCTGAAACTGCTTAACCTCAGAGCTCACAGCTAGAACCACCAACAGCCAACTAATGAGTTTGAGGTGGGCAGTAGATGGTGCACTAAGGAAAAACAAAGGATGCCGGAGCAGATAGGAAGTGAATGCAACAGGCAATCGTTTAAAAGGTTTTTGTACGTTCGAGTGTGTAAACAGAAGGCAAAATGAAACGATCACAGAAAGAGACCGTGTCGTAGGTTTATAGCTTAGTGATGCACGTAGAAGTGGGTACGGTCAACACTGCTTTTGGATCAGCTCATGGTTGTCTGGTCGCTGTCAGCCGAGAAGGTCTGTGCACGACCTGCTCCTCTGAAATGCGCTACTCAGTTGCCGTGGCCACAGAGGAGACGCGTCAATCAGTCGAAAACTAATATCAGCAATTTATGCTGCAAATTTAAGCTAAAGTTTGCAAACATTTGCCATCATAAACTACACAACATACCACATCAGCTAAACCTGCTGAAATTTACAAAACTTATGACACTTATTTGACCCAAAAGAAGAAAGCTGAACATCATAAAATCTAGTTTACATGTGTTTCTGCTGGACTACACGGCTGCTTATTCATCCTGATTGTTTTGGTGTGAGCTGCTCAGTGCAGGAGAATCTGGTGCTTTGTCCTTGTCTTAATTATACTGAAACCAATGGAAGTAAAAAGGCACTTCTGATTATCAAAACACATTAAAAACCAAACAAAAAAAACAAAAAAAGGTCTGCAAAAATGTCTTTAGAACAGATTTCTTTCTTTTTTTATCAGTTGAATGTCTCGTGTATTAAACTTGCACAGGTAATGTTAACAATTTTGGCCAGCGACTACTTCCACCTAACAAGGTAACAATTTGCGTTCTGGTTCCCAGCTGTTCTGTTGCAGAGAAGCTGTCAATGTGGTCCCGACGTCTGGATCAGAGAAAACGCTGGAGGTCCATTTCCTACATCTTATTAGAGTGGATTATTCAGTCCCTCAGCCACGCAGCCGTCAATCACCCACCAAAGGGGGCCTGCTTCAGTGTGCACAGGAGCACTCTGATCCGAGGGGAGCCGGATATCTCTCCACACCGACAGATCAAAGCGTGCCTGCCAACGGCTTCACACCCTCTCCTTCCACTTTTCACTCGTGTGTGTGTGTGTGTGTGGTGTGTGTGGTGTGTGTGTGGTGTGTGTGTGTGTGTGGTGTGTGTGTGTGTGTGTGTGTGTGGTGTGTGTGTGGGTGTGTGTGTGGTGTGTGTGTGGTGTGTGTGTGGTGTGTGTGTGGTGTGTGTGTGGTGTGTGTGTGGGTGTGTGTGTGTGTGTGTGGTGTGTGTGTGTGGTGTGTGTGTGGTGTGTGTGTGGTGTGTGTGTGTGGTGTGGTGTGTGTGTGTGTGGTGTGTGTGTGGTGTGTGTGGTGTGTGTGTCTGTGTGGTGTGTGTGTGTCTGTGTATGTGTGTGTGTGTGTCTGTGTCTGTGTGTGTGTGGTGTGTGTGTGTGTGGTGTGTGTGTGTGGTGTGTGTGGTGTGTGTGTGTGTCTGTGTATGTGTGTGTGTGTGTGTCTGTGTCTGTGTGTGTGTGGTGTGTGGTGTGTGTGTGTGGTGTGTGTGTGTGTGTGTGTGGTGTGTGTGGTGTGTGTGTGTGGTGTGTGTGGTGTGTGTGTGGTGTGTGTGGTGTGTGTGTGTGGTGTGTGGTGTGGTGTGTGTGTGTGTGTGTGTGTGTGTGTGTTGTGTTGTGTGTGTGTGTGTGTGTTGTGTGTGGTGTGAGTGTGTGTGTGGTGTGTGTGGTGTGTGTGTGTGTCTGTGTGTGGTGTGTGTGGTGTGTGGTGTGTGGTGTGGTGTGTGTGTGTGTGGTGTGTGTGTGTGGTGTGTGTGTGTGTGGTGTGTGTGGGGGGGGAGAGCCTCCCTTTGCCCTTGAACCATGGTGGCCCTTGAGGTCGCCCAGTCACTTCCACGGGTGCATTTGACCCCCCCTTGCTCTTAACCCGAGTACTGCCTTCTCTAGTTCCCTGCTTCCCACTCTCTCCCTCCCTAGTAGCTGTAATTACATTACATGTACCATGTCCTTTTAATTTGGCAACAAAGGGGAGGCAAGCAGGCGAAGCAAGGGACTAGCGCCCTCAGAAGTGCTTATTAAGGTGCTGTCCTTCATTGTCAAATTCAAATTGTCCATTTCGCATACACCTCCCATTAAAGCACAAGGAAGCAGCCTCACGCTGGGTGTGAGCCGGCCTTTTTTTTTACCAAACTGACACTGGAACAGAAGAGAAACTGAACTGAAAGGGGGGAGAAAAAAAGAAATCGAAACAGGATGGTTGTCCTGGTGTATCCGCTTTTCTGGCTTGTGTTTTGAGTTGGTTTTATGTGGTAGCGCAGTGTCTGCTAACTGTGGAACGTGGTTTTGTACATGCTTAGATCATTAGTGGGGTGTCAGTCCCATTAGGCTTGTGGAAACCGTCACTGGCTACAATAAACAGATCTGCTGGCCGCATGCTCAGACAAGCAGGCGGCAGCCATTCTCCGCCACAGTCCCAGGGCCGGACTAATTCCTGGCCCACCTATGATGTCCCCAACACACATACTATGCGTTTACTCACCCATGCAGGGACTTTAGACATGCACATGTATGCGTGCATTTTCCACAGAACCGTCAAGAATGCAATCAATCTATTCAGCTCTTAAAATGAAGGAGATGGCAATTTGACTTTAACCAGCACAGGAGGCCTGTCAGAAAAAGCGAAAGGCTGCTTTCATCGCGACGTGGCCGTCTCACATTTTGACAAATTGAGGATTTTTCTTTCCCACAGTGGTAACTGGAAAAATCATCCACTTTCCACTTGAAACAAATTAATCCAGAAAAAAAGTGTCTGGAGTTACAAATTAGTAGCTGTCAAGACACTGGAAATTCTCCTCTGCTGCAGAGTTCACTATCTCATCTCTAAAAATAACTCCATCTGCATCTCCTCAGGAGTCCTGCTCACTTTAATGGTGAAGAGGAGAGTAAATTTAGTTTATCGCAGCTGAATCGGAATACGAGTTTGTTCTGTGAAAGGCAGGAAAATAATGTAGTGTTTGCAAGCTTCTAGATGACGCTGGAAAAGATTTTTTCACCTTGCTGAATGTCCTTCATCTCCAGATGCAGGCTTGATATCAGGATGCCAACTGCCTGGGAACGCTTCCCGTCCAGCAGCTTGATAATCTGGAGAGAAAGAAAAAAACCAAACAAACCACAAAATAATTTACATTATAAAGTATCGAGAGAGTTGGGGGTGGGGTGGGGGGATTCAAATATGAAATATGGGTTATAGAAAAATGCAGTTTTTTAGCTTAACATGACATTTACTCTTTACGCAAATCATCCCTCATTATTCAAAATGTGACATCAAATAACCTGAGGAACAGACGGTGAATAAAAAGTTCATTCGAGCAGCGAGAGGGTGGGTTAAATTCACCAGTTCCCCTCCGTGGCAGGTGACGGACGACCAGCGAGACAGAGCGCCCAAAGCCCCAGTTAGTCCCAGCAGTCGGCGAATCACCCGGGATTGACCCAAATGACCGAACTAATCAGCACTAATTGTGATAACCCATCATCGTGACGCAAACTACCGGGAAATGTGGCGCGCGCACACACATAGCCGGGACCCTCTTTATCAAGTTACATTAATGAGAAAGCGAATGTTAGGAAAAGCACCTCCTCCAAAGTTTACCAGAAAACACGTGCGAGATATAATCAAAAAATATCAAGTCGCAGTGAAAGTACAAAGGCAAAAAGTGGCACCATAAAAGGACAGTCTTGAAGAGCACGGCAAAGAGAAGCAGTAACTATAAATTCACAGGATTTTTATTTGTGCCTACACATGGTCACAATTACTTATGACTGAATTAGCCGTAAAACCAGAGAACGTTTTGGCAAGGTAAAGCCCCGCTCTAAAAGTTAATGTGTCAGGCTTCTTCATTAGGTATTATGGTGTTGTCGGCTACTGGGCTGTCCAGTGGGAGCTGGAGAGCAGAAGCCTTAGAAGTTGGTATTGCATTACAGGGCGTTAGTGGGTGCCATGCTGCTTCCAGCTCTATTACCTGGATCACTAGGGATCTCCTACACTGGGGACTATGAGACGGCTGAGTACCAGGCTTTCCCAACACCTCTAATTAACCACTCTGGATGGGCCGCACTAAAAGCGGCGAGGAACCTTTGCAGAAGTCGCCAATTAGCCTAAACAGTTAAGTTAATGAGAAAAGACAAGTGATGTTGGATGCTTGCCTCGAGACACGCAAACAGCTCGGGGTAGGTGGAGAGAGCCGGGAGATGCTGATGCTGAGACAGGTAGACACCAATAGCTAATGGCTCCCTCCGGTGGAGAACAAGAGAACTGACCCGACACGGCTGAGGACGCTCGAGTAACGGAGACGAGTCAAGAGAAAGAGGAAGAAAGGGGGGGGGGGGAAAGCGAGCAGTCTAAGAAAATAAACAAAATCATGGAAGGAGACACTGAGATGTCAGAGCCTTGAGCTGAAGCAGGTGGCCGGTGTTAGGCGATGCGGCCTGGGTGATGCAGAATCCGAGCCGAACGGATAGTTTACACAGCCACGCCTGAGCGAGCGGCCTGCTCCGCAGTGATGTCTCTCTGACTATCTGTCTGAAATCACCCAGGCAAATGTTACAATAACAACTGGTTCGAGACTTCCCATCAATAACCAGTTGCGATACACTCAGCAACCCCAGTCTCGCCCAGAAGTGTTAATCTTACGCCCACTCTCCCACGTCATAGCCACCACTTCAAATATGTCTTTAATAAACGTAGTACGATTGCTCATAAGTTATTCCCATAAACCCGTAAAGCTGCTGTTTGTTAACTTGCCATGTATAAACTTGATAGAGCTCTGATTTATGTGCATAAAAGAGACCTCAGTTTTTGTGTTTACTAATGTGCATATTTGTACACGCACACGCCGGCATATTTAACCGGAATATTCCCTCATCATCATCATCATCCCTCCCTCCCCTCCTCGATCCTCAAAAATGCACCGACGTGCCCATCGCCTGCTCCCCCGCTCACATAGGTGCCCATACTTTATCGCCTCCACCAGCCATCGGGGTGAAGCCACATGCGTGCAATTATACCCCCGGTCCCGTCTTCCCCGGTGAGAGAGCTCCCCTCAGCTTTGATATGCTAATCGGCGCAGAGAGACGAGCTCCAGAGTAAACAAGAGCTTTGATTTTTCTATGGCACACATGATAAAGATTAACTCACTCATGTAGGCATCGCCTGCATCCCCCGAGTTTCAACTCTTGGCGTGTGCAGTTGCTGGAAAACGGGGAAGTGGCTCATATGCATAATGTACACACACATTCCTTTCCCACCCACTCATCTCCTCTCGCCGTCCACAGCCCCCGGGACTGTGGTGTTAGCATGTTCTGGCAACACTTTCTGAGCAAGTGCATAATGACTTGCGGGGGACGTGCCGTCACCACACAGGTGTGTTCAAGCAAGCGGGCACACGCAGACGCGCAAATAAAAACATACGCAGAAACACACAAATGGAGACAAACAAAGACTCCTTAATACAGATACGTAACCAGATTCGCTGGCAACGTTGACTGAAAATGAGTGTGCTGACAGATGGGAGGCAGGTAGCCCACATGTGTGTCAGCCGGTATTGCGCAGAGGAAGACGTCACGCCAAACTGAGAAGCTATCACCTACATCCCTGTCCAATCAGAACCTCCAGAATAAAAGAGTCTTTTCAACAGTCGTGCTTAAATCTCTGTTCTGGGCAGACATTTATAAAGCTTCCGAGTGTGTTTAAAGAACCACGTGGGGAGAATGATTTTTGCGAAAACTACAGAACAAGACAGATTTATTAACAAACCTCCTACAACTTAGAGGGAGGTGAAGGTGCAGCGCTGCCAGAAGCTTACAGGAAGACAGACAATCAAAAAAGGGAAGCATGTCCCACTGCGCATGAAGTTTCTTGATCTCTTCTACAGAAGTCTGTTTATTTTACTTATTTTATTAAGAAACAACTATTACAATTTGAAACAAGTAGATGAAGAAAGAACAGGTCAGTTATGGGAAATACAGTACAGTGAAAAACTCTTTATATTTTACGTCTAAGGAGCCAAACACTGTTGTATTTTTGAAAGAAGCCCTGCAGAATATTTCGTCCTGGCTTCTTCGCAGCCTTTCAAAACGTTTCTTAGCTGTGGCTGTGAAGCCACTCAACACTGACTTATGAATCCTTCAAGCATAAAAAAACCCAATGTGTCTGCACATAACAGACAATTTGGCAAAGAAAGAACTTTAAATTGAATCTTCAGACACTTTTCGCTTGTATTTTAGGGAATATTTAAAAAATGCCAATGAAAATACAGTTTGAGAGCCATAAAAATAGTATTTATGCATCAACAGTGATTCCGATTGGTGTGAATTGTGAAGAAAAGAAATTGGACAAGTGGAGGATAAAAGAAGAAGTGCTCGACTCAAAAGCACCGACAACAGGTTTCATGGAGTGATGAATCCATATTTGAAAATTCTGGTTCAAATCACTGTCGATACAGTAACAGCGTTACAACAGTGAGTATCTAAAGCCATCTGTAAAACACAGTTGAGGCTCTGTCAGGATTTGGGGCTGAATTTTAGCCAGTGGATCTCAACGTTACTGAAGCAGGGTGGGATCATGTTGACAGAACGGAACAAAAGGCAGCCAACATCCACGGAAGAGCCCTGAATGTCCTTCAAGAAGCCTGGAGAACTACTCCTGAAGACTACTTACAGAAATGATAAGAAAGCTGAAAGAGTTCAGCCTCTGTTAAAGAATAAAGGTGGTCACACCAAAAATATTGACTTTAAAGTATAAACTGTTTTTGCCTTATAAATTGTATTTCCATGCATGTTTGCACAGTTTAATAATTGCTGCACCCATTTCCCATTTTTTCCGATAACTGAATAATGGCTCAAGACTTTTGCACAGCAGGTCAAGTAGTAGCTTAGCTTCTCATATGAATTTTCTTAGCAAGTTATTTGAATACTTTATTTCTGTTCTGTGATTCAAACGCATCACTACATTTGCATAGATTATTTAGCCACTTCCTGACATTTATTAAGCTTCAGAATAACTGATAAAATCAAACCGCTTGCAACCAGGACTATGACGGTGCGCTCACAAAACTAGGTGGAAAGATGACGCAATGAAAATTGTGGAAGCCCTATTCCTTTGCACCCCGAAGGAATTTAAACAGTGTGACATCCTCTCATAGAAGTCTAAGCAGATGCAACTCATGAGCCAAAAATACTTGCCTGTGAATCACATGTATCACTTAATGTAACATGACTAATGCTACAATGTCATCCAAATATCCTGGAGGTTGTGAGCCTGCCTCTGTTTCAGTACTGCAGGACTCTGTCAGACAACAAGTAAACAACGTGTACTTTTATACTCTGCAGTTGCTGGGGGGCCTATAGCGTTCTCTTTTGCACCATCTAAGATATCCTTATCCATTTTCTTTCCTCCTTCCGCTCAGAAGCAGCTAATCTTCTGTTATACTGTTTCCCCTTACTCCCCAGCTTCCCAAAAAGATGTGGCCCGCTTTCCTTTCTTTCCTGTACTTTAACCAGCTGAACTTCTTGGAAACCATCATCTGCTGGTTATTATTTAGATGATCTCCCTCGCAAATTATTTCCCCTCCAGTCACTCAGAGTATAAACTTTCAGGGATAGAAAATTATTAAGTAAACAAGTTTCTATTATTCCGATGACCTTTCCAGTGAGCTGAACGTCAAGGCAGCCGGAAACAATTCCCCCTTTAACCCCAGAAATAACTGCATAAAATTAAATTAAATAAAACCACAGTACTGAGAACAAAAAGTCTAAACACAGATAACAAACCCAGCCGGTGTAGCACAAACGTCCTTCTTTCAAATACCGGGGGGAGGGGACAAGTGTTATGTTGGACATGGGATTTTTTTGATTGTTATGAATTTGCTTCAACATGTTGTTATTAATGGGGGCCAAACCTCCTTTAGAATGATGTAAGCCCAGACAGGACACAGTTGGCGAGATCTGTGTCTGGATGTGGCTGTCTGTGTTGGATCAAATGTTGGACAGTCTGAGTGACCCGACTGAATCGGGAGATCTTGGGATGGACACACACATATACACGTTCTGGCCCTCTGGAGCCGAGTGGAGCCTTAACAAATTGATCAGAAAAGGGGACGCGTATGGATTTAGAGGTTAAAGTCTGGGGCAGCGGCTGATTTTTAACTGCTCGGACGCCTTGGCAGGGACCGCGAGGCAGCCGGGACGCTGACGCAGCGCTGGCTGCGAGAGAGAGAGAGGTGCAGAGTTGCAGGATTTAACACGACGGCATCGAGGAGTCTTTGGTGGGGTAGAGGGAATAGTGGATCAATTGGGCAGAAAGCACATCTGTGTTGATTTTTTGTTCTTGATTTGAAAAATTTACCTTGCACAAAAGGGAAAAAGCATAATCCTGAAGCCCTGGTTACACCACACTGCAGAACTCGATCATAGGGGGGGAGAAAAGCACACACCAACACACACATAAGGGAGTGAACTTGATAGCCAGTGTAGGACCTGGCAACTACAGACAACAATCTGGAGGAGGGCTTGATGAGGCTCGCAATCAATTTTTTTTCCCTCCTTTTGTTTCACCTTTTGTTATTTCTTCCTTGGATTTACGAGTGAAGATGACGGCAGACAGAAAGCCTCTATTAAACAAAGCTAGATGAAAGAAATGAAAGAAAAAGCCTGCCCTCAGCTGGCAAAACGTGCAAGATAACCACATGCAAAAGAAGACAGTGATGAATTAAGCTTTCAACACAGCGCCCAAAGTCAATACAACCCAAGCCGGGGAGTGAGTGGAGCCCAATGATGCTACCTTCTTAGTTTTGGCTTTCTTCTCATACGTGTCCGACAGCGGCTTCTTCTTCGGTTGCAGCGTGGCTTTGGAAAAAAGGTCCTCAAACTCTTTGGCGTTGACGATGTTTGGCTCCTCCAGAGAACACCATAAAGTGTTGTTGCTACAAAAAAAACAAAACAAAAACGGATCATAAATTTTTTAAATATAAACAGACCATGAAAAACTGAGGTTATAGCGTGTAAAACATTCGATCACAGTCAAGGCTTCTCATAGAACGGCTAGCAACATGGAGGCTACTTGAATCAAACAAAATTGAGTGTTCTCCATGTTTGGATGCTCATTTGATGTTGTCCATTTTGCTGTTTGGACAAAAACCTGGCAGCCACGGTCGCAATCTTGACTTTTAAGAGCGCCGTTTATAACCCGGGTGATAGAAATAAAAGTTTAAAGACAAGCCTGTCTCTGTAATAAACCACCATTTCCAGGCAAAGGACAAAATGCTGTGTTGCAGAAGTTGCCGAGTAACGTGGAAAAAGAAACAAACGGAGGTGCAAAGTGAGAACGAGAGGTGTCTAAGAGTCAAGAGGGCGTTCAGCAGTTTGCTGTTAAAAACACATCTACTGTTTAATTCAACTCAACCTGCCTCACTCTGCTTCCCCCCCACCCCCATCACGTCTGGTCGTCAAAATGACATTAACGCCACAATCAGCAGGCTCCTCCCACCCGAAATGTATTCTATTATCTCCTCACACGTCACAGTTCTTCTTGCAGGTCACCATTGAACGATATTACAGCCGGCAGGCCACCTGAGAGAGCCTGGATGTAACCGCACTAGGTGCAAGTGCTTGGAGGCTTATCGTGGCTTAAATACCAGAGCAATCAACTGCCTTTCAACAGTGACTAGATTAGGGTCAGGCAAGTTCAGCTGCGTCTCCAAAGCATGCATTTGCAGAGGTGAGCATATTTATCTAGGGCAGCCAAGAGGCTTTATAATGATACCGCCTTAAAAACAAACTAACAAATCCTTGGATTTTGTTCTCTCCCACCTCGAGTCCAACAAACATCTGATGGCTCTGATGCAGGAACGTAGCTTACTAAAGAAACTCAGACCCGACTCCCCCTCCTAGCAAAAAGAAAAAAACCCACAAGACAACTTTCTAATTGGACTACGGCTATAAGTGAATTCTTTAAATCCCCCCGTCGTACACGCTGCCCACTGTACTCCACATCTCAGGTTACATTCAGACACTGGGCACCATTTCAAACCTCACACTGCATCCCCCCCTACAGCCCCCTCAAACCTCATAACTCAGACCTTCACACCATTAACACAGATCACACAGCTGATCCAGCTACAGTTAAACATCTGACCCATTTAATGCCCCTTAACAGTTAAATTTATAGCTGACACGAAACTACTGCAGTGCAGACACTTAGTCCTCGAGCGCTGGCCACAACCGGCGAGAGAACACGAACCGCAGCTCAGCTTCTCCCCACTAATCCAGCCATGGAAATACAAGGCCATAAAGCTGAAAGGCTGGCACTCAAAGGCAACAACCACAGCCACAGTAAATGGTCTGGATAATCCACTTACTATTACAGAGCATCTCAATAGGGCCTTTAGATGAGGGAGTGCGGTGCAGCAACCAAATCGCTGAAATCTCTTTGAATAGGAGCATTCAAGCCTTAGACTGAGACCCCATTAGCCCAGAGCCAATAATGCCTACAGCTTCATTTGCACTGGGATGACAGGGCTACTCCTTTGACTGCAGGATATTTGTGTATCTAACCCATGCAGTCCTTAACAGTAGCATGTTTACATCAGTAACAAAGGAAACAGCAAAAGCATCTTTAAAATCATCATACTGAAGTTTGATTTTGAAGTATTAGCTTAAAGTTTCACATAAAAAAACAAAACACCCCCCACAATTTACAATATAATGGCTAAATCTATGGTTATAGATTTTTTGGGGACCATGACACACAGTGTGGGACATTTTAAGAGGCAGTAAATTCTGTAGTGTGGTGTGGTGGACAAACCCTGTAAGTGCACCACAGATTTTCAATGACATCAAACCTAGTTTGGCATTTTTTTGCTTCACTTTCACTTGTTAGAGTTTGCAGATCTATAAAAAAACCTAAGCTGTAAACTGAAGTCCAGTGGAGCCCCAGTGGAGTGGATCCTGTCTTATACGTACTTGTTGTCCTGTATCTGGATCCGGGTCCAGTACAGAGGCTTCATGGGACACGCAGGCTCGACGGCAGGTTTCCGTGGGGCCATGTCTGCTTTCTGGCCGAGACCGAATCCCCCCATAGGTGGAGGAGGCGGGGGGCCCATTCCTGGAGGAGGGGGAGGAGGAGGTGGGCCACTGCCAGGTAAGCCGGGAGGGGGAGGTGGTGGAGGAGGTGGGGGCGGTGGGCCACCCCCAGGGGGAGGAGGAGGTGGTGGAGGGGGTGGCGGCGGGGCTCCAGTGTTGCCCGGCAAAGGAGGAGGAGGAGGGGGTACTGGTGGCCCTGAGAAACCTGGTAGAGGAGGAGGAGGTGGCGGCGGCGGTGCAGAAGGCCCTTGGTCCATTTCAGCCTTTAGATTCAGTCCGATCGAGTCCAAGTTGAGTTTTTTCGGTAGGTTCTGACTGGGGCTTTGAGCGAGCCCGCCTCCATCGCCCTCGGGGCTCTTAATGAACGTCTCCCGGTCCGTCTGGATACCCACAGTGCGGCAGGTCTTGGTTATGGGGTCATCTCCGGTGAACACAGCAACATCGCGGACCTCACGGCGTTCCCGTCCTGCGTTGTACGGCTTGTCTCCTTCCAAACTGGCAATGACTCCCTCCAGGTGTGATATGGAGACCGCGTGCTCACCACGCAGCTGGAACATCTTAAACTCAAACTCTGACTGTAAGAAGAAAATTGCCATGAGAACAAATCCAGAGTATCAGCAACTTTAGTCATTTCCCACCATCCAACAGAACCGTATCAGGCGGTAGACGGCGTTTTCCCTGAGATGAATTTGGACTAGAGTGCCTACTTATTCTTCCAAGTACACGCTTCTTTATTTAAAGAGGGTATTATATCGCTTCATCTTTGTTTTTAGCTTTATTCCAATTAAATGTTTCCCTCAGGTTAGTTTCCAATTCTTACAGTAAAATCCCCAAAGTCCAATTTTTATTTGACATTTAAAACAAGGAGAACCAAACAAAGCAAAGCACTGATTTTAAAGATAAACTGTTTTGCAATAAATCTTACACATGTTCCTTATTAACTCATGTCAGTTTAGAAATAGAATTAGCCCAGCCTTTGTTGTGGTTCTACTACGGTACATGTTTCTCTGTGTCAGCAGTGGATTTGAAAGATTACAACAAAATTAATGTCTTTCACCAGAAATTCAGGAGGTCAGACTTTTTCGTGGGAGTGGCCCAGAGAGCAAATTATCATCAGTGGCACAAATTCTATAACACAGCCAGAACTTTAGTCTGTCTCTTTCATTTTTCTAAGAGCAAATTTGTTTAAATAGGCAGATAAAACATATTTCAAATTCTTCCAAATCACCGTTTTTGAAAAATGATAAACTAAAAATTTTAAGGGACATTTGATGGGAGCCATCTGTGTGTGCTTGTGTGTGTGAAAGGACTGAACAGCTGGAAGTTGTAATAGCACACATTAAGTAACCCAAGTTGGCCTCAAGACTTATATTATAGCAAGCGCTTTTAAATTGGTTTGTTCATTTATAATTGCTTCATTTTTCCCACCATCTGAGATCTCTGTTCTCTGCATAATGTCAGGATTGTAAAACTCCAATTACATTTCATATATCATATGAACATACGTTTGTCCATCGAAGTTTGACAGGCTTGATGTTAGTTCATCACCTGAATAGCTCAAAGGTTCCAGCCTTTTAGTTTGCATACTGAAGCTCCTCCAGCTGAGTATTTCATGCTTACTTAGTGCCATCTTGTGGTCATAACCGTCATCTGCTATGAGAACCCAAATTCCTACAGCTGAACTTGTGATTCATTTATATATCTTGCACAAATGTACAGCTAAAGCTCGAACCACACTGAAGTTTAATTCCCTAACTGTGTGCTATAACACGCCTGTCATGACTCAGATGTAAGACCACACTGTCTCTGTTGCCTGCATCAGTATTAGTTTAGTTCTTTTTTGTCCCTTGACCTTTTTTGCTCATTTCCCTGTGTCTGGTTTACTGCAGTCATGAGAAAACTTACATGCATCTTTTCCAGCTCTTCCTTGCACTCTCTCTTCAACTGCAAGAGGGCAGCCTGGTGCTCTGGAAGAATGCAGAACAAAGGCACATTAATGAAGCATATTCTACATATACTGTGGGGAAAATAAGTAATGAACGCGTCACCAATTAGACCACTAAAAGTGCTCTTGACATGAAATTTTCCATAGACGTCGGTAACAACCCGTCCAATGCACACAGGCAAAGAAATCAATCCATAGATGTCCAGAAATTAAGCTGTGTGTCAACATCACCAAATTGGTGATGTCTTTAGTACTTTACTTTTACAAGACTCAGTAATCACTGCTCACTGTTTTCCAATTATTTTTATAAAAGGGTGTTGAATTATGAATTGATTCAACATATGAATATTTCAACATCAACTTCATCTGTGAAACAGAGCCAGCTCAACAACGTGTACAGCAGCCTTTAAACATGATAAAAATACTAGAGAAGGGCGGATCGCTTTCACTAAACAACTCAACCAACCAGTTTCATACCATGCTGCCGGCTAATAGAAAACATTTAGATAAAAGATGCTGGTCTAGTTTCACTGACAGAATGAAAAACAAACAAAACTTGCTTGAAATTCATAATGTTATAATAATGTAGCTTATGTGCAAGCTCATTAAGGCAGACTGGTATTCACTCATCCAACCGCCTGCATTCTGGGGCACTTGTGCCGCTAGTTTATTCTTTACATCACTTCCACTTTCCCACACTGTTACACTGGGTTCTGTCATCTCTCTGGCTAGATCAATTTTCCTGCCTTCAATGAGCTAATCAGTCTCTGTTCCACGTGCCTGAAATCTAAGAACTCATCTGTGACGCTGCCTTTTCAGACATTCATTTGTGCAATTCGCCTCCTTCCCATCTATATTTTCCCATCTAATGCTGCCCAGTTTTGAATCCTGGGTCTCCACCTGCTTCTTCTCTGCCATCACCTGCATCCTAGCAGGGCTTTAAAACCTAAGGGCCAGTTTGTCCTGACAAACAGTCTAATCCGGCCTTGTGGACTGCTTTGAAAAACATAAAGGAGTACAAAACTTTGCACTTTTACCCATATTTTCTGAATTTTTACAGCTTTTTCTACCCTCATGGCCATTTATACCACACCAACATAATTAACTAACATATAAATAATTAAAAAGACAGAAGAGAAAATAGTTGAAACTGTGCTTCTTTTTTTATATCAACACATCTGTGGGATTAAAGGTGTAGCTGAACTTCTGTACAGTGACAGAAAAAGGGTGTTTCACTGCTCTGGTCCACTTAAGATTAAAGTGGGCTGACATCCCTGATCTGGGATCTCCAGAGTCTAATCGCCAAAGAATATATCACTCCAACTATGTCCGTCAATAAATCAATTCTTTCAACTGATCTCTTCTCACTGACATATTTATGGCCACATGTTTATTTTCAGATTATAACAGAATCCAAATACAATATTAATGTTAACTTTCAACGCTACTTGATCTCACTGTCACACGCACGCACACACACTTGTTTATTAACTACAGCTATAACTGTTCTGTTGAACGCTTCTGCTGACGAGTCAAGTCTTAGTTTAAACTAATTTCTGTCCAATTTGAAGTTAGTTGTTGTAGTGACTAACAAACAACAAACGCTAACCCTAAACACTACATGCCAAAAAAAAGAAGAAGATTGATTTGTGGCTCTCATCAGCGACATAAAGACTTCATTTCCAGAGTCTGTAATCTGTAAATTAACAAATACTTTAAAGATATGATTGCATGCACGGTTTATACAGTCTATATGGCTTATAGCCTGGACTTTGCTCTGCTTCTTAAATTCCACACACACTACTGTATTTGACAAGAGCAAAGCTGGAACACGGGACCCAGATCACTGCACTGGAATAATCCATTTTAGCTCGTCTTTCTCTGGGATGAAGCTACACCACAGAGAACAGCCAACATCTGTTGCACTGCTGCTGTGATTTAATGCTAGGCTGTAATTTAATCACCTTTAACTTGTGTGTGTCATTGCACCTTTTAAAGAACACATCAGGCTAAACATGGCAAGTTGCCAGGACAATCCTCATTTTCCCCCTTCTCCACTTTGAGCCACACATGGTGCCCTGTGGTGCAATAACAACAAAAAAATGGCATCATTAAGGTGCAGACACAGCCTCATAGTGCTCTTAGATGAAAGGTCTTACACACCGACACTGAAGCTTTTATCTCAGACACGTAAAGCGTGAGCATTCGAGGGTTAGATGATAGGGGTGCTGTCTTTGTTTCTGGGTTTTAAAGTTGAACATTGACATCATTTACAAGGCTAATCAGCGCGAGGCCTGTTGGTGTAGGCTTAGCTGGTGTGACTCTTAGTCAGCATTCCTGGTTTTAAGTGTAAATACAGGCAGCACCGCCTGAGGCAACGTCCACACTACATAGATTTGAAAACAGCGTTTTCAGACAAAAACGCTCCGCGTCCACACCATCCTTTTCAGTCATTTTCACAGAGTTGCGCGTCCACATTGTAACGGCCAAAAACTCTCACGTTCCAGTCCTGTGCATGCATGAAACGCAAGAAGATTCAACCTGCCTCATTTCTGTCTGCCGCTTATTTACTTTCTGTCTCTTTGAAATATCGCAGCAAAATGTTGAGGAAAAGCAGCGAGTTTTTTTAAATGGACTAACAATGAGGTGGAGTTGTTGCTGCGAGAAACACAGAAGTACAAAGGTGCAAAAGCGAGCGAGAATTAAAGAATTTGAAGAAAAGCTCTCTGGAGCGCGTGCAGACTGTCAAAATTGAGAGCAAACAAAACAAGTGCTGTATAACACCCTCCGCTATCTAGGTTTAATTGGTCACATGACTGCATCTTATGACTGAAATGCGTCGTCGTTTTAGGAAGTCTCCGTTTTTGCTGTCCACACTGCAACGTGAAAGCACCGTTTTCAAATGTACGCGTTTTCGAAAGCGTTTTCAAAACGCTGCGTTTTCCATCAGCGAAAACGCCGCCTCAGTGTGGACGGGAGGCCAAAACGGATGCGCTTTCAAATGAAAACACATTAGTGTGGACGCAGCCTAAGCCTACAAGCTTGTGGTTCTTACCTGCTTCGGTGTACTTGAGCCCCACTTTCTCTTCTTCATCCTTGGGTTTGGGTGGTGGCCACACAGCCTGAAGACGCCCTGGAGTCCGGTCCTCACTGTCTGTAGGAGACGTGACTTCTGTCTATGAGAAGAAAACAAAGAAACAAAAATCTTTAAGCTATGTATTTATTATAAAGACATGAAATAAAGTCTTAAGACTTAAATTCAACAGTACATGTGACTTAAAATATAATAATTGTGTAACTACATACAATAGCTTCTTTGGGACTTTTGACCTCCTTGCCAGGAGATTTGGTGGTTCTCTCAAATATCGACCTCAGGTTTTCCTTATCGTTTTTTATTTTCTTTTTCACCGCCTCCAGATCTACAGCTTCTGTCTTCTCCTTTTTGGTGGTCCTGGGCCCGAGGAGGTTTTTGAAGGTTTCGTAGGCCACGTCTGAGGTCGTCTTTCTCTCAAGAGTGGAAGCTGGAGTTTCTGGAGTTTTCGCTCCTGAAACAACTTCTCCTTCTGCAGACTCTTTTTTGCTTCCTAAAGAATCTCCCTCCTGCCCATTGACTGAGTTTTTTGGGTCATCATTGTCCAGCTTAAGCAGATGACTGAGTTGTCCCACTATGGTGCTTTTAGTTTCTGTAATAGATTTAGGTTCAGTGTACTTTTTCATAGGAGAGCCTGTCTTCTGTTCAGGGAAGAGCTTGGCTTTGTTCACAGACTTCTTGAGGTTAAGCAGAGCCAGCTCAGAATCCTTCTCCCTCTGCTTGATCTCTGACACAACCTCCCTATCTTCCCCTGCCCCTCCTTTCTTCAGCACCCGCAAACCACTGAATAGAGCAGGCATTTGAAAGGACAGTGGTGAAGAGATTTCTGCACCTCTGGATGGAGATGAGGTGGACGAAGCCGATGATGTGCTTGTCTTAGGAGTTTTTGTTAGCTTAGCATCTGGACCAGAAACTGCCTGGCTGTCACTTTTAGTCTTTTTAGATGGAGAAGATGGCGACAAGGGTTTTTTAAAGCCAGTGTCTGACTGTTCCTCTGGAGAGGATGTTGGGACCGAGGCTTTATGAGTCTCAGGGCTGGAGGGAACAGAGGAGGATATCTGGCTGGAACGAAGTTCAACCGTTTGCTCAGCTGGTTCTTCCTCTTGTGTACCGTCCGTCTGTTTTGTAGGAGAAGCCACATTAGCATCACTGTCTGCAGATTCCAAAGACTGATTTCCAGAGATTATTGAGGGAACTGGTTCAGAGCAATCTATTCCATCATACTCCTCACTCTCACCTGTTCCCACATCTCCAGCAACCAATGGTTCTGCACTCTCAGACACTGTGGGAGCACTTTCCTTGGGAGTGTAGCCTGTTCTCTGTTTGGAAAGTGAAGAAAGCTGAACTGTCTTAGAGATACTTCTGCCAGCAAACCTGCTGGAATATAACATAGCCTCTACGCGGGATCTCTCTGTACGTTTGTGTGTTCTAAACATGGGCACTTGTAGCGCTGCTTCAGTGGCATCTCCGTCCTCTTGGTCTACTTTTTTACCGTCCTCCTCCGATAGAGTAGACTTCTTGGCCTCATGAGCCGCTTTGTCGTCCTCATTTTCATTGTCACTATGCGTTTCCACCCTAGTGACCTGGACCAGATCTGGGTCAAGCGGGGCTTCAGCTGCTGCTTTAACCTGCTCGCCAGAGTCGCTGATTGATGATTCGACCTTTTGCACTGTACGACCGGTAGCAGTCACATCACCCTGAGCCGAATCCTTCCTCCTTTGGAGTTTGTTCTCAGCGTTAACAGATTGACTGTCCTCAGCGTCATACGTCTCCCCATCTGGAAGCTCTTTAAATGAGACCAGCACAGCACACTCTACATCCGAAGAGGGAGAGCGATCCCGCGTGAAGAAATTGCTCAAGACACCTCGGAGACTGGGCTGTTTGCCCTGTTCAAATAAGTCACTACTTGCACTGTCCATTTTTGTTACTCCAACTAAGAGCAGATGCAAACCAGCACAAGTAGACGCTCCAGCAAACTGTCCGTTTAAAATGTCACACAAAAAGTTTGTCACCCCACCTCTAGTTAGCCAAGCTGCTCCTATTCCACCTCTGGCGTTGGCTGGGAACAAAAGGGCTTTGTGTGGACAAAACTCCACAGCTCCTCTTACCTTCTCCTGGAGGGTGCCAATAACAAAAACTATCCTGTAATCCTGTTTAGTGACACACTCACAGGTTCCATGTGGTGGACTTTACTATTTTCACATAAAGACGTCTACTGCCTTTGTTTTCAGAGGTACAGCCAAGTCTCCCCCTTGCGAGCGAGATTCCCATGACGCTGCAAGTGAAGTCAATCTGTTCAGTGGCTGGAAGCATGTCCTGCTGTAATCTCCCTGGGACAGCAGGAGAAAACCGTTCACCTGCCTTTCACAATAGCATTTCCTAGTGTTCAGCGAGTCGGGAGGTATTTTCCCATAAAACTGCAGGACACAAGTCTCTGCTGTGCTGGTGTACAATCCCAAACCTGTGACTTGAACAATGTTTCCAAGCTGAGACTCTTCTTTTGCGTCGATCTGTCTTGGTTCACAAACAAAACAAAACCTTGTGTGTGCTGCTGTGTGAGAAAACGCTGTCAGACTTCACTGCTCTACCCAGTCTGGGAATGCCTTCCTTCAGGCCCCTCCCTTACTGGGAGGAGTGCCTTGCTCTACAGGTGTCTGATTACCCATGCTCACTTCCTTATGGGTAGTGAGATAAGGCAGAAAACAGTCACTGTGTGGTCAGGTACAGAGAAGCAGAGGTCCAGCTAGGATTACACTATTAAGCAGTGAACTACAGCAGCAAAGTGCTAAAGATGAGATTAGTCACATGACCACTGCCAGCTCTAATATGCTAATATGCTAACATGATTAGCAGCTTATAAATGGGACCGAATTTGGCAAGAAAGCAATGAGATTTTATTCACCTACCTTAAGTGCGAGCATGACACACTGTGTGTACTGAGCGCTGACAATTTAGACCCAAACTGGAATATTAGCTTTGTTAACAGTTTCTAAAGAGGTTTTTAAAAACTGTAAAGTGCTAGCTGCAAGGTAATGCTAGCATTCTATTAATAATATGTGATAAGGTAGAAATAGTTGAAAACAGGACAAATGAACAACTTTCTGGGCTTTGAACCGTCTATGTTGGTCAGCCTAAAACTGGTTAGAAATGCTCTATAGGGTTTGGATCAAGGTCAGCAGGTGGTGGGGTAGAAAGTTCAAATTGCTGTTTCCTTAGCAACCACAGGTCCCCCTTCCTGCATTCCTTCAGACTGCTGGACTTTCTCTCTCTTGTTTATCTATATGTGCAAAAAACTGTTTGTACACATACAGTAACATTGTAAAGTGTCGAGCACTGCGCTATGAAAACTACAAACAGTGACCGCTTCTGTGGTTGTGGCATTATTTTATGTAAGAGTAGTGGCATTTCACCCCACAGTAGGCTGCTCGGGTTGGCTGTGCTAGAAAGAGCCCCACTGACAGACACTGTGACGTGAACTGATATGCGATTACAGGCCGAATATCATGTAAACGCTACAGATAAAAATACTTTTCCCCATTCACATAACTGGGTGGTGTCCCTGCCTCCCTGCCTTTGTGTTTTCACCTGTACACACACTAAAAGCCATTATGCACAGCTGAGGTGCGTTTTTCTAATACCATAAACCAAACCAAATGACAATGAAGCCACGCCACACATAATGCTGTCACTCAAAACAACACACAGGACCTAATTATATGCAACGTGCCCTTATGCTGGTATGCCATCTGATTATGCCCACAGGCAGATCTGTTATGGTGTATTAGTAAACAATGCATGTCTTGAGCTGATACACTACCCACCTAAAACCGCACCCAGATAATCTCCCACAGGAATGTCTCTGCTCTGGAGCACTTCAAGTACTCCAGAGGTTTTACATATAATGTTCTGACGCACACTGTTCAACAGGATTACATATTTCACATACTCAGGAAAATAATTTGTGTTGCCATTTCTCTTTAATGGGAAAATGTCACCAATTACCTTAAAAAAAAAAAAAAAAAACATGAACATATAAGAGCATACCAAGGCTGAAATTGAAAGTCACTTTCATTTCTCTTAATGTGAGAGTTTCAAGTGGAAGGCTTCCCACTCAGCTTTGGTTTAGAACTGTAGTCTACAGATTAGGATTCATGACCTATTTCTAAGGATTCATGATCAGGTGGTTAGATGCCAGAGTAGACACAAATCCCCATGAGTCCCCGGTGGGTGGGGTGGGGGGGGTAACTGCTGGAGAACATTGTTCTGGATGTGGAAACAGTCAAGTGTGAAACTGGATTTTTCTGAGTTGCCAAGTATATCAGAGCTCTACTGAAGGCTGGAAACGATAGGCTCATCAGAGATGTTTTTTTCATAATAAAACATAAATTAACAATTTTCAACTTTTCAGCCGCTGACACTGATAAATGCCACAATACACTAACAGCAGCCAAAAAGCCCAACATCACCTCATACGGATATTTGGCTGCATTTTACAAAAAAAAAGGAATTTGTTTAACTTTACAGCAATGCGTTTGCAAAACTGGTTTGTGAAAGCACTGCTACACTCTGCATGGATGTGCTGCAAACATAATGCTGGGAGTATTTTAGATGATGGAGCAGCTCTGCGGGACAAACTGTGCAATGTAACCATTTCTAAATGACTTCAAGCACCTTTTTCTTTGTTAGCTTCTGTAAGAAACGAATAAAGAAATGTACCAATACAAATTTGGATCCATGACCCATTTGTAAGGATTCATGATCCGGATGTTAGATAACAATATCAATATCATCTGTACTGAAATATTACACCAATACTGGCACATATTTGATAACATATACATATTTGACTATCACTCATAAATTGGCATCTATGTGCAAATGCTTATAAAATAAAATAAAAAAAAAAAGAAATCTCACCGTGCATTCCAGCTTGGGATAATATGGAGTATCCCCAATAATGTCATCCTCGGGAGGTGTGATGCGTAGGAAATCCAGGTGATCAGGCCGTGGAACATGTGAAAGGGTCTCCTGAGGGTCATCGCCATCCAGCGTCCAAATATCATCCTGACGCAAGAGGGACTCTTCTACGAAGACACAAAGAAGCATGCAGCCACAGGGCTTCGTTAATGGTCGCAGCTGTGTAAGACATCGTGCCGCAAATTAATTGGAAAAACAGGCGCAGTCGCATGTGTGATGGGTAAATAAGCAGCTCTGACTGTTTTCCTGTGTAACCTTCAGGGAAACAGCAGTGATGAGAGGTAGGAAGCAGACATCGAAATCTCTTAGCATCAAAGAAACAACAAGTGAGACCCTCTAATGTGCAGACTGGAGGGTACACAGCTATTTTAAATCAACTCTTGGCCCAGTCTCCCCCAGCAACACCACCAGAAAACTACATTGATCCAATTATGAGAAAGGCTAGAGAAATCGAGTGGCCTATACTAATATTAATGTGCATTCACAGCATATTCCCTGCAGCAGACAACATTAGATCAGTCAGCATTCCTACTGTACTGCAGCAGTGAAGTCAGTTGTGGGTAGGTGTGATTAGTGTAAAACCAGTGTTCAGTCATCCTAAGGACCTGATGGAGCAAGAATAAAAGACCTGGGGAAGACTGCCCTCTGCTGGCTGTGCAGTGCAATGAGATCATGGAGAAACAGATCTACAAAGAGACAACGTATATTTTAAAATGCAGGCAGGAACTCAGCATCTCTGTGCAGTGTTGTGTGCATTTCAAACCAGCTGACAATATTTGCTTCTCAGAGGCGCACTGCACACACAGAATCAGCAGCAGCCTGCAGAACTCGGTACTGACTACAGGAACCATGCAGAGAGTGCCAACACAGAACAAAAAAAAACCCCAGTGTCACGTTCTTACCAAGTGCACAGAAACATGATATATCATGCCTTGATGCATGAATTCACTACCTCAAGGGAGTTGATCAAGCAAGCTAAAAGAGGAAAATAACATATATATACACACACACACACACACACACACACACACACACACACACAAGGCAGGACAAGAATAAAAGAGAGAAGGAGAGAACACAGAGAGGAGGAGGGTATAGATCTTGGAGACCTCAATTTCCTTCAGCTGTAAGACAACACCTTGACCTGCATGGGCAGAATTATGAGATCGACAGTGAGAAATATATGTGAATTCCTATCCAGCAGGAAGCAATACATCCCCTATCTTGTGTATGTGATAAGTAACCTTGAAGAGAACATGCAGCACTCATTTCCAAGAACTTGGAAGTCCCCTGGAAAAGATCCCCGAAGTTTTTAAATTTAGTTATTCGAGCGCACACATAAAAACTAAATGGGAGGCCTCGTTGAAATATGAAAGAGCTGACACACAATCATTCATTATGAGACAGCAGCGATGCCTGCAGTCCACCAACTGGACTGAGAGCAGTGTGTGTGTGTGGTAGTAGGATTAGATTAATAACTTTTCATTATGATAATGCTGCACTGCATGGTCCCGCAGTAGGAACTGCTGACTGTGGGCTGGTATGGTTCCAAATGCAGACTTAAGTCCAGTCTGAGCCAAGGAAAGAGACTACTGACGAAAACCAGCTCTCCCCATAATTACTGCTTCATAGACGAGGGTTTAACGGACAGAACACTATCCACCTGCAACACACACAAACATCATCACTTTTTTTTGCTACATTCCTCCACGTCTCCAAAAATACTTTTTACCATAAAACAACATTGAACACTTTCATGTTTACTGTTACACTTCACCTGGTTGACAACCAACAAGTGTTTGATTGCAATATTTGTAAAGGTGGCCGACACTGCTACCATCTGTACAGGAAGAGGAAAGAACACATCTGTCTCCCTGCCAGCCGACACACTACAGTGCAGCTCCAATGCCACTGATGTATGCTATAAATGCAATATGAATAAATGCACAGACACTGCAAAGAAACACAAATACTGATGCAGGACTCTTAGATGCATTAGGTAATAAGGCATTTAATAATTGGGGAGTTGATATACTACTAGCATGCATGCACACAGTTTACCATCCCTGAGGAAAGCTGCCCACTTATTACATTTAATCTCCTTCCCTGCTGCTCTAAAAGCCAAGACTGAATCAGTGTCCATAACTGAGTGAACACAGGCTGCAGATGTGTGTGTGTTGTGTCTGCTGGCTCACATGAAATGTGACATAAATAATGCACTAAACTGGATAATCCCAAGCCTAAGACAACATAAGTGCACCAAATATACACACAGCACAAAGTCTGAATGCAAAGACTTGAATTGACACCACCTTTTGGACACCATCAGAGGTTTCTGAAGAAAAAGCAAAAAGGTGCGGACGACCAACCTGCTGAGAGCAGCAATTTGAAGATGATGTGGTTATGTAAGCATTCTGATTTTAACAATAAGTGTGTGCTCGGTGTGGCTCAGAGACAATCTTATGTCCGAACCTGACAGGTGGATGCTGTTGTCAGGGTTGATGGATTTATCTGCCAGTCACTCCGCCAACTGTTCATCCGGTGGTCAGAGATAGCACTGTGAAAGCTGTATTGAGCACTCCAGAACAGACAAAAAAAGCCCTAAAACCACATTTTAAAAAGCCTTAAACGAATGACATTAGATCAGCCAGATACTCCATCTGCCCACAACAGCTTAAATTCACATTCTGATTTAAGGCTCAAAACAGATTTGGTCAGTGTGCCCTATTTTATCCACTAAAGTCTAACCTTATCATTCATAGTAAAAAGAACTGGGCCATATGGCATGGTGAGTACATCTGGCAGCCTCCACCCCCATCAATCACTTTTAGCCAAGAAGGAGAATCATTGGCTTTTATATAAATCATGAAAAATTCACGATTCTTAAATCACCCGGTCTCTT